AAATATATATATATATATATATATTTTTAAATCGCCTAGCAGAAGTTTTTGCTACACATTAACAAACATTTGTTTTCGTTACCAAGGACAGTTTTACACTAGAAATAACCGTCAGGACATATATAAATGTCTGGATAAATTAACTGTGATACACAAACTGTGATTTAAAGTGCAAATTATTTGAAATAACAATAAATACCGATATTGTTTGACTCGTATATGTTGGGCCTATTTGTATAAGAAGAAGGAACAGTAATATACAAACATGTCCAACATGTATTTACGAGAAAGAGGTTAAAAACATTTTTTATCACTGTTAATCTGGTTTAACAGAAATTTACCAGGCTTTTCTTAAACAAATTTTGGAATAATACTCAGAAAACATAAAAATACAGTTCAATATTGTTATAGCACGAATAAATAGGAAAATACCATAATGAAGATGCAAATAAAATTAGAAACAATTTTCAAATACCAAAAATTGTAAAAGAAGCCATAGATTTGTTAGTTTTCGTCAGTATAAATGACACAAACAACGACCCTTTCAACGAATGACCTCAGCTATTTTTTAGATACTGCAAGTGTAATTCAATTCAATAGACAGTATGATTGCTTAAACAGTCACAATCTCCCGAGACAACAAACATTCTTAGAAAAAAATTATCCATTTTTGAAAATTCCTTTCCAAAATACGGGCGTTATAAATTTGTTTATAAATTATGTCGTTGAGTAGGACATCGTAAAAAGTTTCTACAACAGCACAGTTTGGGAACTATCGCTACCTGCCTGCAGAAGCAAACCTAATATAACACCAGCAATTGTCCCAGTAAAATATACGATCCCTTACATAAGTGCTCTATAATTAGTCGGTCAGCATCTATTGTTCCTCCAAGAATAGCCTCGACAAGATTACAAAGTCACCGTTACGCAAACTCAGGTATTTTTTTTAAGTAATTATAATTGCTGTCGTCAGGAACGAAAATGAGTTTTCTGCGTAGGATTCCGGACCAAGGGGAAAAACAAATAAAAGTGAAATTTAATTTTAGAATAAAGTCGTCACAGGTAGTCTTGTTGTTTAAATACCATAATTATTTCGGTTTTCGCAGGGTATTCAATTAATAAGAATGTACTTTTCTCATTTTTCTTAACATTGGAAATGATTCATTTAAGGCTAATTGTTAGGGAAATATTTACATGTGTACAAGAAGTTGAAGGTGTAACAAAATACTCGGTCGCGACCGCTGGGCGCAGGGGTAGTCCGATCGGAATGATTTTGGTGTCGTATATGTTATTTTGCTCTTTAGATTGGATTTTTTAATATTCAGATAAGTCTTAAAATAACAACGCATATCGTCGTTTAACAAATTCATCTTCAACACCAGCAACTTTATAAACAATGCAAAGGTTTAATTCATACACATGCATTGTCTGTAAAATTAGAACATACATAAAAAAAAATTGGCAGTCCTTTTGACATTGAAACCCAATTTTTTTCAAGCATTGTAGACAAAACGCAGAAAAATAAATGAGGGTTATTTCAACAGTCACTAGATCAAAAGAAATGTTGACCATTGATTGAACAGAAACAAACGGGGTCATCTCGAGGACAAGGCTACTTCGATGTGAATGAGTTATGGTTACAACAACGCCAGATATTATTTACAAAACAAAAATAAAATGGATACAAAAAAGTAGAAGCAACTTAAAAACACAGTAAAATAAACCGAAGAAATAATTTATATCACATATAGACCTGTTACAGATTAAGCAGGATAACAATGTTATTAAATTGTTTGATAATGCAAAAACTACTATTTCTCAAGTTATTCAGAACGTACAAATTATCTCCCAGTATAAAAACAAAGCACTCTGAAACCCTTTGAAGATTTCGCACGCATTTGTTTGAAAACGAAAATGAGATGAGTAAGGACAATGCTATGTTGTTTTTCAATATCTACAATGTGTTCGTATGTCACATGGCAAACCACACCACATCACATGATCTGTGAAGTCCTACCATTGGTTTATCTGACTGATACACATTCAAAATCAGTTCTAAAAATCTAGTAGATCATTTTTTTTACGTTGAATCAATTTTACGTGATCCGTCTACTTTAGATAAGACGATTTTAAAGGGTAACAATAACTTATTGGTGATTTTTTAAGTCGTTGCATTATCGAAGTATAAATAAAAGATTATCGAATTTGAATATCGCCAAAATCTTCATTTTCTAGAACAATTGGATGTACAAATGCAATAATATCCAAAGTAAATAAACGAGGCGATAAATGCAGGTGGTTTGGAGTTATTATCGAGTGACTGCTTTGAATAGATAAGAAATAATATTTATGACCTAAAATTTTTGCTCTTTTGTGTAGAATTAAAAAACAACAAGGAAGGGAAGCGTGAAATTCTAACCTCAAATGCGTTATGAAGCTAAACTGACTAGAATCTTTCAAATCGTATCTTGCCAAAATTCAATTATAAAAAATTAGATACCCAGTTAATTTTTCATAACATACTCTTCACTGATGAACATATATGTTTTGAAAAAAACTACCACATACGTCATTTTAATGACACAGTTATAACGTGTACCATTGACGTGCAACAAAATGAGATGCTGGTAATTTAACTTTATTATTATTTAACGGAGTTAAGTTACCTTTTAAATTTCTTAGATACGCCACTGATTTTGCACGCAAATGTCAAGCTCTAGTCTTTGAATTAAAAATCTACTCTCAACCCCTACCTGATCCAGTGTTTGAACAAAAGCAGTCTGTCAGGATCCAGATAGTCTTCGTCCAGGTAATCGGGAGGCAATTCGCCCTCTTTTGGCGCTTCTCCTCCCTCAGGGGCTTCTTGTTCGGCAGGTGGAGGTGGCTCCTCTTCCTGGCCGGGCTTCTTCAGGGGCTTGAGTGTTGGTGGGGGTTCGTCATCGCCGCCAGCAAACCAGTCGTCCTCCATTTCTTATGTCTTTAAATTGATTGACACTATTAAAGGGGCGCCAAATAGAACTTTGAGGTACATACAGTGGTTCAGAAAGGACAAAATTGTATTTTAGGTAAAAATTTCTTTGCTGATGTGCTGTGCTGTGCAAAAGGATGGAAAAGTCAGTCAGTGATGTACATTCTTAGGTGGGGTCAGTATGCAAGGGGGGTTTGGGGGATTTTCCAGTATTTTCATTATAATTCAGAAACTAATTGGAGGAAAATAAAAAAAATAGTTATGTTCTTTTTGTCGTTAAATTTCTTTTTATGGGAAGGCCACGTCACTGGGAGAAAACAATAACTCGAAATTGAATTTCGAATCGAAATTTATTGAATTTCCAAAGTCCTCAGTGGCGTCGTGGGTTTGGAGTTTCTAGTGAATTTTTGTCCGGGGTAATACATTTTTCAGAGATCTGGCAAATTTTCAAATAGGCTAAATAGGTCGGAACACCTCCGAATTTATGACTCGCATATTACGGTGAACTCAAAATACAAATATATCAATGTTAAGGCCACATATTTGATAAAAAAATATAATACCGCTTCTGTTCAAAACATTAAATACTACTTTCACGTAATTTTTCTATTTAGCATATAAGAGCACTTTGAGATAACATTATTTAGCCTTACGGATTATAATTTGATGCTACCAAAACATTAGTTGTCAGGGAAAATGCTTCAAAAATAATAAATCAAGTGTTTGGATGTTGCACTCTTGACATTAATATTTTTCAAGCTAATGTAAAGCTTAAACAAAGCGAAGAGAATACTCATTCTGCTTTAAAACAGAAGCTGATAAAGGTTTTCGAATATGATTGTTGAAATGATCAATTAATTTCAACCAATTAATTTACAAACAAATTGTTTAAGTCTCGCCTGAAATCAGTGGCACATATAATGTTATAAGTGTCGTCATGATCCAGGTTAGGAAAATTTTGAGGAAAATGTACCAGCATGCCTCTGTTTGAACTGAGACTTATTTTTTTATGTTCTTGCATCGTACATACAAAATTTCGATTCAACATCGTTTTACTTATTTTATTTAAGTATTTAGAAACGTTTTTACCGAAAATCTTATCTTAGAAACGGCGGAGTTTCAAAACCAAGTTTATTCAGCAAATAAATGCAATGTTAAACATCTCTTCTAACCCCACATAGTTACAGGAAGAAACTCACAATTTCCTTTCGCTGCGCTGCTCCCAATCAAAGCGCCTTCTATCACAGCACCACCTGAGCACCACCAAGAATAACAAACCAGGCACTTCACCAACCTCACGGATCGACTTCCGGCAGCTATAGCCCCAAGATCTCGGGAGGCGGTTGGGACACGGGACGGTTTTAACGGGGGCGACCCCCCTCCACCCCCCGCCAGTCTCCTTCGGGTGCCTTTTTAGTTTTTCGCGCCGGGCCACCTTAACCCTGCTGACCCGACCGCACCGATGCGATTTTGTCAACAATGCCACCGATGGCTATTTTCGTCTGCGTAGTGGATTCTATTGTTTTGTACGTTTTTCGCACGCTTCAACAAAATCGAATCTGAGGCGAATTACGAAGAGCCTAAAGCCAAAAGCAGTGGCGGGACTTAAAAATTTAGCCCCCAGACAAAATTCAATGCGGAAGTTTTCTAATTAAACTTGATTGAATGTCGAAAATAGGTATCAGTGCCGTAGAAACTTTACATTTTGCTAGAAGTATAAAAAAGTCCTATAAGTCCTATATAAAAGGCTTGTACCTATGAAAGAGTAAATGTAGAGTTATTTTAAATTAGATTAAAAAATATTAACATATGAACAGGATCATATTTTGCATTATCTCCAAAATCCTCGAAAACGCGCCATTACGTGACCCCTCCCAAATAACTTCTTGCAATAACAACTTTTTTTCATATTTTCGCATGCAAAAAGTGTATCTGTCAGTGACTGCATCCGCCGCCCGCTGCCTTGGCTGGAAAATAAGCGTTGACAGACCCGAGAAAAGAAATATCCACTCTCCCTTTGTCCGGCGTCAAAGTTCTAATGTCGGGCTGTCGCTATTTGCGCTTTGCCTGGTCGACACAAATAGTTGTCCTGCCAATCACAGTTACCTAATAACGATGCTGCGACCGCTACTCTTTATTGACATTAAGTATTGAGGTTGGTCCTACGTGGCTATTTTTGGAGGGCTCTTGTGATAACGAGCGTGGCAAACTTGACACGTGGCAGTAAGCAATGAAAATCAACATCGAATCGACACTGAGCAGGACCCCAATCAAGTTACGTTGCTAAATAGCACCGTAAATATGTTATACAGAAGGTTTTTTTGTGAGGCTGTGTTATTTCTCAATATCACACATGTTTTATTTTATCTTCTCACATTTGTGTGAAAATTTCGCTTATTTTAGGGGCTTATGGTTACAATTTAAGTGTATTGTAAATCTACTGTAATCGCAGATAACCAAAGAATGTTTTATTGAAGTGTGTTTATATGTTTGTAAGTCCTAATCAAATCAGTAAATGAAAAAAAATTAAAAGTTTCAACAAAATGTTCTTATTAAAGGTAAAGAAATATATGACAGGTCCTTTTTTTTTGAGATGTGTATTTGTGATTTTCGAATCATGTATGTATTCATCTTCATCAATTACACCTGTGGCAAAATTAAGATAACAACCACTCTCTGAGTATGATAGATTGAATCAGCAGGAATACACCGCTTCTTTTCCCGTGCCTTTAAATTTCAAAGTTTTATTAAAATGCGATATTAATAGCAATATATACCGCACTTGCTGAATAAACACTCCAAAAATTGCTAGAGATATCAATTCCGTATCAGTTTTATATAGATTGGGATTTACATCGTACAATATTACTCCATTTTCATTTGCATCGATTCTAATCTCACATGTTTTTAAGCATTTAGGTACACACTTTTCTTGTTGTAATAATAGTTAATTGTAAATTTTATTATGAAAAAGTATAATTATATTCTTTACAGTATATAAGCACCAGAACAGTTCATTTGTTGGTCTATGTTGTAATTAAATAATAAAAAAAATATATTTTTAACAAGCTAGATATAGATCTTACTATTTATTTAAGATACAAGTCCAAAAAAGTCATTTTGAATTGCATGAACAGCTTAACTAAAAGTGCAAGCTAAGCATATTGTTCCATATGGAATCACTTTTTATGTTTCCTTATATTAGGGTCCAAAGCAGAACCTTGTGGCACTCCTGAAGCAACAATAGAATAGTTTAAAATATGCCTTCGACAAGGAAGCTACACGAGAAATTTTTTCCCTGTGCTCCTGGATCATTTTTTCCTAGTCTTGAAATAGTTCGAAACAATTAAATCACGATACACTTTTCAAAATAGGTGATACATTTTATATAATCCAAGATAAAACATTAACATATCTAAAGTGGCAGCTCATAACTGCTATCCAAGTACTACGAAAACCAAGGTTTGCATACAGACTATATAAATAGAAGTCAACTGGAACTGCTTCAGTTCCGAATTTTCATCCGTGGAAATGATTACCAAGTTTGCAGTTCTTGCACTCCTGGTGCTCTACTCTTTCGTCCCCAGCACTAGCGGGCAATGCGGTAAGTAACTTCACAGAAACTATTTACGTACCCATACTCTTTAAGATAATAAAGTGACAGCTGGAGTATTAGATTTCCGTTCTTCGTTTACTCCAAGCCCGCCATTTTGAAAAAATGGCGGGGGTATGGAGCCGCACTGCCTGTCATGTCTATGATTTGAGTTTGAAATGGCGGAAACGTTCCTAAAATCATTTCCCTGTTTACAGTAACATTTGTGATATAAATTATTTCGAAAACAGTAGTGAAAGACTTTCTGGCCTTCTGCTAAATTACGGGAGCACAAGCCGTCGATATTTCGAAATTAATTTTAAACGATAAAGTGCGATAAGCATCTTTATTCATATCAAGCACTTAAGCTTATTAACATACAATGCTAACCACTGAAGTGTTTGATTGAAATAGCTCTTAACGTATCAAACGGGATTTTGACATTCCTTTCGATAACTGGAACAGAAAAAATGCCATGGTTTACAGCCGCACAGAAAATTTGCAATGATGCTTATATTTTTGCTACTATTCCATAATTTTTTAACTAATTCAACTAAATCTTTCAGTGGCCAACAGTGTCCTGAATCTAAGGATCGGTGCTAACGCCGTATTGTCGTGGGAAATCGACCCGAACGACCCGTGCGAGATAGACGAGTTCCAAGTAGACGTCACTGGTGACAGAGATGACGAATATCACTTCAAAGTGAGGGAAACCGAAGTGGACCTCTCTTTCTTGGAGATCTGCGAAGAATGGGTGTTCGTCGTGACTCCCGTTTCAGACGGAACTTTGGGATTCGAGCGTCGTCTCACTGAAAACATTCCCCTTCCACCAAGTGAGTATTCGTTTGAATAAGATGGTTTTGAATAGTTATAAATTATGTTCTCTTTTAGGTGCTGACATCTCCCTCAGATACTTGAACCTGACGGAGATAGAGCCTAGAGATGTTCTTTTGGAATGGGACCTGACGAATCACACTCACGGTGACTGTACTCTGAGATACAGGGTCACTCTCGAAGACCTAGACGACGGTAGCATTCAAGATTTGTACGTTAGGGGGCAATCGGTACATCTTCACCTGCTCTCGCCTTGCGTACCTTACCACATAACCGTTAGGGCGGTTAATAGGGCTCATCCTACCATCGAGGGTCCCATGAGATTCCATGACCACGAGATTGAACCAATACGTAAGTATACAGATCTGCTAATTCGTACCTCCGAAGGTGAAGGAATGATGCATTCTCAACCTTTCATGTGACTCCAAGGGACTGTGTCCTCTACCAGAGTTTAGATTACAGGATATCGCGACCAACCATAGGTTCCCCGTCTTCTACCTTCTAACTTCTAAGTATCTCCACAGCTTTGACAGTGTCTCCTTTACATGGCTTCCACCCCAAGGTTTTTCTTTTTCCAACTGTAGATAATGCACCACTGGTTGGCTTTCATATTTACACAATATGTGGTTTAAGACCTTTTCTTCCTTCTACAGAGACCAGTAATCAGTCAGAGTCTACAGATATCCAATTTACAGTCCTTCTGTCATACTCATTTCCTTGCCACCGAATCATCCAAACAACATCGTACCAACTAGAACATGAGATAGTGCTATCTGTCTGTTAAAGTAAATGGCATTTATTTCCCCCAGTCCTTCCTTTCTTGAAATTCATCATTGGTATTCCTACAAACGACTGTTCTTTTAACTCAGCTCTACAGTTTCTAGAAAGACCTGATAGATGTCCCTACTGCAGTCTATACTACAGAAACCAAGATTCTCTTTAACCGGACTCTTGTTTGTTTCAGCTGAAGATCCTCCCACGCTTAGGACCATAGAGATAGGCGCCACAGAGGTCAGCATGACCTGGCGGTTGGAAAACCCCGGTAGGAACCGTTGTCCGATCAGGACGCTGTACGTCGACGCCGGCAGCAACTTTAATATTTCCTTGCCGCTCGTGGACACTCCCGAAAGGCCGCCAGTGGAGGTGAACCTGAGGGGGCTCTATCCCAACAGCATGTACTTCTTGAAAGTTAGTGTCGAGAACTCTGGAGGTTTATCCCGACCGGGTCTAATAGGTGTGCAGACCTTGGATTTATCGCCAGGAAGCGAGTAGATTTCCTCATCTCCAGATGATTATTTATTTCAAATTGTAACAAACCAATAGTTTATTTTATTGCTCTATTTGGAAGTTCTTGTAATTTACAATGTAAACACGATCTCTAACTCCCAAAAAATAAAACTGATCGATAAGTAAGTATTAAAATGGTTCTGATGATTCGAAACATCATTAAAAATATTTAGTCGCAAATTGTATTTTATTTTTCATTGTGGTTACTCTTTAAAATACTCAGAAAATTTATTTATCTCAGTTTTTTGATGATATACAATAACTACTACCTTATTTTGAACTTGAAAATAATACCACAGAGGTTCAACTACCACGAACTGTCACCGGAACGTGAGGTAAAAAAAAAATTAAAAATATGCATCAACCAATCTAATTTTGATATATTTCAGCTGAGGATGCCCATAGGCTCAGAATCATCGATACAAATTCAAAAGTAATTTTGTATTGCATGAACAGCTTAACTAAAAATGCAAACCAAGCATATGGTTCCACATAGAATCACTTTTTATGTTTCCCTATATGAGGGTTCAAAGCAGAACCTTGTGGCACTCCTGAAGTAACAATGGACTAGTTCAAAGTATGTCTTCAGCGAAGAAGGTTGCCTCACGAGAAATTTTGTCCCTACGCTTCTGGATCATGTTTTTCCTAGTCTTGAAATAGTTCTACGAAAGTCTGCATGCCGACTATATAAATAAAGGTCATCTGAAATTGCTTCAGTTCTGAATTCTCATCCGTAGAAATGGTTAGCAAATGTGCAGTTCTCGTACTCGTGGTGCTCTACTCCTTCATCCCCAGCACTAGCAGGGAATGCGGTAAGTAACTTCACAGAATAACTATTTATGTACCCATGTTCTTCAAGATAATAAAGTGAAAGCCAGAGTGTTAGATTGCCGTTCTTCGTTTACTCCAAGCCCGCCATTTTGAAAAAAATGGCGGGGGTATGGAGTCGCACTGCCTGTCATGTCTATGTTCTGAGTTTGAAATGGCGGAAACGTTCCTAAAATCATTTCCCTGCTTACAGTAACATTTGTGACATAAATTACTTCGAAAACAGTAGTGAAAGTCTTTCTGGCCTGCTGCTAAATTATGGGAACATAAACCGTCTATATTTCGAAATTACTTTTAAACAATAAAGTGCGATAAGCATCTTTATTCATATCAACTATCTAAGCTTATTAACATACAATGCTAACCACTGAAGTGTTTGAATGAAATAGCTCTTAACGTATCAAACGGGATTTATGACATTCATTTCGATAACTGGAACAGGAAAAATGCCATGGGATACAGCCGCACAGAAAATTTGCAATGATGCTTATATTTTTGCTACTATCCCATAATTTTTTTAACTACAATTTTAACTGATCCAACTAAATCTTTCAGTCGCCAACCATGTCTTGAATCTAAGGGTCGCTGCTAATGCCGTGTTGTCGTGGGAAATCGACCCGAACGACCCCTGCGAGATAGACGAGTTCCAAGTAGATGTCCTTGGTGACAGAGATGAATATCATTTCAAAGTGAGGGACACCGAAGTGGACTTCTCATTCTTCTTGCTGCCCTGCGAAGAATTGATATTCGTCGTGACACCCATTTCAAACGGAACTTTGGGAGTTGCGCGTCGTCTCACTCAAAGCATTCCCCTTCCACCAAGTGAGTAATAGATTGAATAAGATAGTTTTCAACAATTATAAATTATGTTCTCTTTTAGATGCTGACATCTCCCTCAGATACTTCAACCTGACCGAGATAGACTCCAGAGATATTCTTTTGGAATGGACCCTGATGAATCACACTTACGGTGCATGTACTCTGAAGTACAGGTTCACTGTCGAAGACCTAGACAACGGGTACATTGAAGAATTTAACGTTACCAGGCCATCAGTAAATTTGTACACACTTTCGCCTTGCGTCCCTTATCATTTCACCGTAGGGGCGATTAATTGGGCTTATCCTACCATTGAGGGTCCCATGAGATTCCTAGACCACGAAATTAAACCAACAAGTAATTATACAGATCTACTAATTCGTACCTCCGATGATGAAGGAATAATGTATCATTAATCTTTCATGTGGCCTTTACTAAACTCTAGATTACAGGTTATAAATATGTAGAGAAGGTCATGATTTTGGAGTTCCTTACCTTTAGACTTCGAAGTACCTCCACCGCTTTGACAGTAGCTCCTTTACATGGCTTCCAACTTAAGATATTTCTTTTTCGAACAGAGGATAATGCACCATTGGTAGGCCTTCACATTCACAAAATATGTGGTCTAAGATTGTTGCAAGTGAGTTTAGAGGTGTGGAGCGTTGCAGATTGGTAACTCGTTAGCCTTCTCGTTACTTCGATGTCCCTCGTAACCTGGTATCCAAGCTACTGTCATAATTTGGATTTCCTAACCTTACCAAATTATCCAAACAACTTCATACCAGCAGAGATGATAACCATGTCCGTTAAAGTAAATGGCATTTGTTTCCCCCAGTACTTCCTTTATTTTCTGCAGCCCTTCCTTTCTGGTATCAGTATCTTGAAATTCCTTTGAAATCTAAGTCAGTATTGACATTCCTACAACTGACTGTGTTTTTAATTCATCCTACAGCTTCCAGAAAAACCTGACGGGTGTCCCTACTGCAGTTTATATTATGGAAACTAAACTTCTCTTTAACTAGACTCCTGTTTGTTTCAGTTGAGGGTGCCCCCACGCTTGAGACCATAGAGATAGGCGCCACAGAGGTCAACATGACTTGGCGTTTGGAAAACCCCGGTAGCAACCGTTGTCCGATCAGGACGTTGTACGTCGACGCCGGCAGCAACTTTAATATTTCCTTGCCGCTGGTGGACACTCCCGAAAGGCCGCCAGTGGAGGTGAACCTGAGGGGGCTCTATCCCGACACCATGTACTTCTTGAAGATTTCTGTGGAGAATTCTGGGGGAATATCGCGACCTGCTCAGTTGGGTGTACAGACTTTGGAGCTGTCACCTGGTAGTGGATAACTTGCATATTAAATTAATTACGAACTAGTGGATTCTTGTTTTATTTACGTGGAATAAGGGAAACAGCAATATTTATAACAAGTTTAAGCAATGCGGTAACGTAAATGTCCGTAAAATGGTACCGCCACAGCACACGCAATGCACCAAATTACATCTAGGGTTGCAGCTCGACTCAAAAATTTAAAAATATGTATGTATTGTATGTTAGTTGTGCAGGGAAGTGTTCTTTTATTTTGTCATTTTTCCTTCCAAATTATTGGAAGGTTGTAAATAACCTTAATGAATGAATGATATTAATCCCAATCGGTCATAATTTGAAAATCTACCTACAAACAAGATCTCATTTTACTCAATTTGAAGTTGGAAGTACAGAGTGATTCACTATACATATTTTGACCCCCTTTAACTCTTTTGTTTTAACCATAAAAATTTTGTCGTAATATTACCTGTCACTGTCACGACCTACTATGTAACATTATCCAAGAGTAATCAGGCCTCTCAAGGCCTAATTGTTGATATTTAGTTAAAATACCTATATAATATACCTATATTCCTATATAATACCTATAGGTATTTTGAACCATATCAATGATCGATATGTCAAAATATGTTATAACTTAATCTGTAAATCCTTACGTAATCAGCGGCCATTTTGTTTCGACTTCAATTATTTTTCAACCATCATTTTCGAAAAATTCATAAAAAGTCGTGTAACTTTTGTATTTCACATTTTTTTTATAACTCTTAAAACAAAGGGGGGCCAAAATATAGTGAATCACCCTATACATCCAGAATGATGATGCCTGGGATAGTGATTTTCAAAAAAAAAAAATGTTACCACTTGAAATTCATAAAAAAGTCTAAATGTAAAAATATCTTTTCAGTCAAAAATGAAGCCTCGATATTTTCATTGCCTTGACACTTTTTTCAATTTACCCACGAATAAGAATATTGTTAAATTAACTAGTTTTTTTAGTGTATAATTAAAATTGTTTGTTTTACTTCTCTGTTTTTAATTTAAAATATAATAAATGTTAGCATCTGAATCAATATTTATCTAACTACTCCCGAGTATGATGTCAAACGTAAACTTTTATCAATGAAATAATAAAAAATAAAAAAAAAAATTCCGAGAAATCGATAATAAAGTAAGTTGTTTCCTTTTTGTTTCGGATTGTTCAGACATCTTGAAAATCCCATTGTTTTTCTATACTCGAGATTACTAGATCACAATATCACGTTATCGATGATTTAACAGCAATCAGTCCAATTTCTTATGCATACATGATTGTAAGGAGAAAATAACACTCGTGCTACAGTTTTAAATGTAATTCTAATTTTTGTTAAATGTGACCCCTCATGATTTTTTACAAAAACATTACGACAATATCTTTAATGTATATCAGACGTAAACGGACAATATCAAATTCTAGAATCACTGATTGTCGATATAAAAAATAACTTTTCCCAAGCCCTGTCAAGAAATATCACCAGCGAATTGTGTTTTGAAGAGTTTTCTTCCACGTCGAGATAAAACAATGACATATCTCGAGTGGTTACTTGACACCTATCCAAATAGAACCAAATCCGGGATTTTCGTATCGAGTATATAAATACAAGTCAGTTGCAAATGCGTCAGTTTTGAAACATCATTGTGGCGATGATTTCCAAATTCACTTTTTTTGCTCTTGTGGCGCTGTACATTTACGCCCCCAGTATAAGCGGGGAGGACTGCAGTAAGTACATCTGTTAGTTACTAATCAGATATTCCGTCACGTGCAAAAAAAATATTAATATAAGCAGGATTAACTTTTTTGGCATAAATCAGGATTTGGGTTTTTATTTTTCTGAGTAACAAAAATAAAAATCATATCGACCTCAATTTTTCAGTCCCTGCCAGTGTCTTGACGCTGAGACTTGCTGCTAACGCAGTTCTATTTTGGGAGGTCACTCCAAAAGAACCCTGCCACATCCAGGGTTACCAAGTGGACATAGTAGGCGACAGGCAAGACGAATACCGCTTCGTTGTGACGGATTTGTTCGTGGACGTCTCCTTCTTGGAAGTATGCGAGGAATGGCACTTCGTCGTGAGGGCAATTTCAGATGGAATTCGAGGATACGAGCGTCGCCTCGTCGACTACGTTCCTCTTCCACCAAGTAAGAATTTGATTTACAATAAACGAGAATATTTCATTTTTTAATGTATTCTGTTTACTTTCAGATGCCGATCTCTCCCTCAGCTACTTCAACGTGACCCAAGTGGGTAGGAGTCTCCATCTCGACTGGGATTTGACAACCCATACCCACGGGGATTGTACCCTGAGATACCGCATCACAGTTGAAGATGAAGAGCAGGGCGAAATCCATGATACGTACGTTTCTGGACGTTCCGCTGACCTTGATATCGTGTCACCTTGTGTCTCCTACCAGTTGCGTGTTAGAGCTGTTAACAGGGCCTACCCCACCATCGAAGGACCAATGAGGTTCACCTACCACGAAATGCCACCAGAACGTGAGTAAAAAGAATAATACCAAAAACTAGAGGGGATGAGGTTCTCTTAAAAAAAATACTGGGGATAGTCCATATAACCTTCTAATATTCAATGTAGCACTGGAATGTTTCAGCTGAGGAAGCCCCTACACTCAGAGCCATCGAAGTGGGCGCCACAAGCATCGACATGTCCTTCAACCTCGAGAATTCGGGCAGAAACCGTTGCCCTGTCAGGACTTTGTACGTAGATGGCGGCAATAACTTCAACATTTCGATCCCTCTAACCAACGACGAGGATAGGCCGCCAGTAGATGTAGCTTTGCGGGGTCTCTATCCCAACAGCATGTACTTCTTGAAGATTTCTGTGGAGAATTCGGCAGGAATATCGCGACCCGCTCAGTTGGGTGTACAGACTTTGGAGCTGTCACCTGGTAGTGGATAAGAATAATAGCTTATATATTAAATTAATTACGAACTATTCCATTTGTTTTGTATTAAATATCATAGAGAGCAACCTATATAACAATTTGTAATAACATAAATATCAATAAAGAGGTACCATCACACGCATGGCAACAAATTACATCTAAGGTTGCAACTAGACCCAAATATATTTTTTTGTAACACAGGAAAGTATTATTTTTATTTTCTCGATGTTTGCACTTTACCTAAAGTAAATGATGTTATTCACACACTATCAAAATTATTTGAAGATCTGCCTACAAACTAGTAAGGTTATTTTAATCAACATGAAATATTGTCAATGCATTTTTCCAGGTGATATAATCAGAGCTTTCGATAATAATAAATTAGACTTGGACATAGCCCAATTACAGGCTCATTTGGAAGTAAACTAGAACAGGATCGAAAAATATATAAAATTAAACTGCATTAAATTTTTCGCCAACAGACTTGGGTGTGGGTTTTTATTTTTCTGGTTATTCAAAAATTGCGCATCACTTTTTTACAAAAATAACTTGCTCTGATAATGAAATAATATTATGGATTACAGATTACTTATCAGTACATGAAATTTGTAATATCATATAATAGGAATTGGTAACTAGTTAAAAAAGTACGGCATTGGTATTTTTATTTTTTTACTTATGAAAAGTCAACTACAGCCATAATATTTTGAATATAACTATTTTAGTTGATAACAAGAAATTTTCAAAATATTGTAAATTTTCAAAATGTATTTATTTGTTGACCCAAGTGGGTAGGGATCTCCATCTCGACTGGAATCTGACAACCCATACATACGGGGATTGTACCCTAACGTATCGTGTCACTGTTGAAGATGAAGACAGGGGAGAAATCCAAGACATCTACGTCACTGAACGCTCCGCTGTCCTCGATTTCGTTTCACCTTGTGTCAACTACCAGTTGAGGGTCAGAGCTGTCAACAGGGCCTTCCCCACAATTGAGGGACCAGTGAGGTACACCCAGTACCAACTTCCACCAGAACGTGAGTAAAGAAACAATTTTGAGGAGGTAGTCTTTTTTGAAAATGCATATTTTGTAATATAGGATGATAAAGTTGTTATCCTGAAGAGAAATTGATGAACCTTCTTCCACAACTAGAATAAGGAACTTGATTCACTTCAACATCAGTTGGGTGTACAGACTTTGGAGCTGTCATCTGGTAGTGGATAGGATGGAATGATTTGTTTATGATATATGATATGTTTATGATTTGTTTATTAAATTAATTACAAACTAGTGGATTTTTGTTTTATTTACTGTTCAATCAAACAATGGAAATAAGGCAATTTGAATTGGTTGTTGATATTTGTATCTAAAATAATTGAATGTATTTCAAATAGACGATATAAATAAAGTGAAACTGACTGCAATGGTTACGAAAAATTCAATTTCTATTCTACTCGCTTTGTGTCTATTTCTTCACGAAACATACGGCAAAAGCGAAGATGACTGTGGTAAGAATTGCGATTTTTTAATCAGCTACGATATTATAGTTACTAGCTTTGTTCCCAGTGCATTAGAAACGGTTCTCAATAGTCAAACGCATGCGCATTTAATTCGAAACAATGAATTTCGAACCTTATATAAGCGTTATCAGAATGCGCATGCGTTGGACTATTGGAAACTATTTTGGATTGTTCTAGGAACAAAGCTAATGTATATATTTCACCAGGTATATTACCTAGCAGACATATATTGCATAATATTCTCTATCATTAATTCCTGTGTGAATAGATTTTTCTTAAAAGCATAGTTAACATACATTTTTAAATATGTATATCCATATCTTCTAAAATAACCTTCATCTTAAATTACTTTATCATCTTTATCTAGATGTCTTATCTTTAGAAACATGCAAGATGTTATCAACTCAGGATTGTAGCTAGATGTGGATTTTAGTGATTTCAATAGAAAAAAAGGGAAACTACTCAAATAATGCACATCTAATGGCCATACACTACTAACATCTATAATTTTCTTTCTCTCCCTGATCTACCATCTTCATCTAAGAAAATTATCATATTCAAGTCAATCCCCGTCACAATTCTCCGAATTTTTTCAGTACCCAGTAGCCTCCAACAACTTTTCCTCACATCCAACGCCACCCTGTACTGGTTTATGCATCCAAATGAACCATGTGAAATAACATACTTCCAAGTGGACATTGTCGGAGACAGAGAAGATGAGCACCACTTCAAAGTCATGGAAAATTTCGTCGACCTGTCTTTCCTTGAAATATGCGAGAAGTGGACTTTTACTGTTACCCCCGTCTCCAAGGAGGTCATGGGATTTTCACGCGCCTTGACTGAATCCCTTCCATTGCCTCCTAGTGAGTGCAGAGTACTATTCTTCATACAGTTTGACTTGAGTTTTACTCTCAATAACTTTCAGGTTCTGGTGGAATTGAAGTCTCTCACCTACAACAGCATGTATTTCTTCCGGATTTACGTAGAGAACAGTGGCGGGGCGTCACCAGCCTTCCTTTTGGCTGTACAAACCCACGACCTCACCCCCAGCTAGTTGTATTGTGAATTTGTATAGTTTATATTAAATAATTTAAAAAATTCTCTATCTATTGCAAGTTTTTGTATAAACCAACTGAATAAACCATCCCAGAATAGAAGAACAGAACAATTCGTGACTTTGTAATGTCTCTTGATTAAGCCTGATTGTGATGAACACAATCGAGATTCAGAGATAAACCGATTTTTTATAGATTATTGATATTTCTATTTAAGTGGCAGTATATGAGTTAGGTACTGCGTTTCACATAGACTGTATACAGCGAAGAAGGCAAAAGAAATTAGTCGTGAAGTTAATCAACCAACTAACCAAGATGGTTAACATATTTGCTATTCTAGTGGTTTCTTGTGTATTGCTTCATGATGCCAACGCTCAGAACGAAGATGATTGTAGTAAGAAATAAAATTTATTAGAGTGAAATAAATTGTGTGTATCTACAATATGTACTGTGTCTGTAGTCTCTTCATCATTTGTACCAATTTTCTTTTAGCACCTAATGGTGTTCAGCAGATTCTCCTAGAAGCCAATGCTACTTTGCATTGGTACATGAACCCAGACGAGCCATGTGAAATAACAATGTTCCAAGTAGACATTGTCGGGGACAAAGGTGACGAGTACCATTTCAAGATCACGGAAAACTCCATGGACTTGTCTTTCCTTGAAGTCTGCGAGGAGTGGAGGTTCACAATCATCCCCATCTCGCACGACGTCATAGGATTCGGACGCACCTTGAGAGAAGCCATCCCATTGCCACCTAGTGAGTACTTCATACTGTTTAACTTCACAGCACTTGTTCGTGTTGTACTTATATTCACTCTTCCAGGCGCTGATCTCACTCTGGCTTATTTCAACGCTACCGCAATAGGAGGGAGAGAAGTTCTTCTGGAATGGGGCCTGGTCAACCACGTTTATGGCGACTGTACTCTGCACTATCAGCTAAGCGTCGCCGATGAAGCACTAGGCATAACGCAAGACGTCTACGTGCAAGGAACCTCCCTCCATCTCACCTTCCTCTCACCCTGCGTGCCCTACGAGTTGGGCATAAGGGCCGTTAACAGAGGTCACCCCACCATTGAGGGACCGAGGATAGGGATGCATTTCGAAATACCTGCAAAACGTATGTCGCAATACAGATTCCATAAGGTGTCGTTTAAAAAAATTTGATAAGCAAAATTAATCAGACTTTCTTAACGTCCTATATTGAGAGATAAAAACGTTTGAGATAATTTCAAGTGGACACACGTACCACGTTCCATCCAACATACGAACAAAAAATATGTTCAATTGCTCAGCAATAAATGAAAACGCGCGTCTCTTTTTTATCTTCTTCTAGTTTTGATATTGATACTCTTTCAATCATTTCATATATTTTTCGTCTGTTCCAGCTCAAATAATTCCATCTCTATCATCCATTGAAATTGGGTCAACAGCTGTCAATATGACGTGGACCTTGGAAGGCAATGCCAACAGATGTCCATTGAAAGCTCTCTACTTGGACGCTGGCAATCTCTTTAATATATCTGTGCCCTTGCTAGATACACTGGAGTCAGAGCCGGTTCTAGTGGAATTGAAGTCCCTCACGCCCAACAGCATGTATTTCTTCTGGGTATACGTGGAGAATAGTGCAGGGGCATCACCGGCCTTTCCTATAGCTGTCCAAACCCTTGACTTGATCCCTAGCTAGTTACATTGTAGATACAAGACTTTTTATATTGTAATTTAAAACGTATTCTAGATTATGTCATTTTTTTTGAGAATGAATAATGATAATTATAGCTCGACAGTTTAATTTATTTTAATCCAATATTTCTAACATCTTACAAGACATTGAATATTTCCGAGATAACGATTAACGATTTATTGATATTTGTATCTCAAATGATGAGTGCTAATTGTTATACTGGACATAAATTGTATAAATAAAGTGATGATAGGCTAGAACATATTAGTCGTGAAAACAATCAACCAATCAAAATGGTTTTAAAACATGTATCTTTGGTTCTACTCTTTTCCTGTGTATTTCTTCATCACTCATACAGCCAGGATGATTGTGGTAAGATATTCGAATTATTTGACGAAAAAAAAGTATGTGAAGATAGAAACAGTTTTGTACTATCTCCAATTGTTCCTTATCTATTAAATCTATTATCATGAGTAGTACCGTCTACTTACGTATCCACATTCCTGTTAACCACAACTATTTTTTTATATACACATATAACATATTTCCTTTTCAGTACCATTGTTTTTATTTATCTGTACTCCTGATCTTTCAAATTTAATTACCGTTACATATATCGTTCCTTTATCCACCTGTGAATATATTTTGCATCTTTAATCACATTAAAGTTTCAAATTCAAGGAGCTATCATTTTTTTGTAGCACCCGAACCTATCCTGCAACTTATGATTTCGGCCAACGCTACCCTTTATTGGACCTTGGACGAATTCCAATACTGCGAGATAACACATTTCCAAGTAAACGTCACTAACGACAGTGGAGAGGGTTACTTCTACGAGGTTACAGAGAACTATTTGGATCTGTCTTTCCTCGAGATCTGCGAGGAGTTCAATTTCACTGTTATCCCCATGTCCTACGAAGGAGTGGGATTCGGTCGCACATTGAGTGTACCCCTTCCACTACCACCGGGTAAATTCAACTCTCTCTTTTCTATGTAATGGGTATTAATATCCTACAAGTATCCATCCTTTCCTTGACCTTGAAAGATCAAGAAATATAACCAAGAATATTTTCCTTCTTGTATTTAATTCACTCTTTCAGATGCTGACCTATCCTTGACCTCTTTCAAAGCCACCTCACTGGAAAGCAAAGACGTTCTGGTGGAATGGGATTTGGTCAACAACACCTATGGAAACTGCAGTCTTTACTACCAGTTGAGAGTCACCGATGAAGATCTAGACACGACTCAAGACGTTTACGTATGGGAGAACTCGGTCGATTTGACTTTCCCCCGGCCTTGCATCTCGCACCATGTGGACATACGAGCCATCAACGGTGCTCAGCCTAACATTGAAGGAGCATGGACAACGCCGATACATTTCTACATGCCTGCAAAACGTAAGACTCCGGTTTGTCTGTATTGAAGATAGATTCCACAATTTCACGACTTTTTTCTATTCATTCCAGCTCAAATAATTCCTTCACTGTTCGCCATTGACATCGGGACAACGTCTGTCAACATGACATGGACCTTGGAAGGTATATCCAACAGATGTCCACTGAAAGCTCTCTACTTGGATGGTGGCAGTTACTTCAATATATCTGTGCCGATACAAAACGTGGATTCAGATCAGGTCCTGGTGGAACTTAGATCGCTTCAGTCCAACAGCATGTACTACTTCAACGTCTATGTTGAGAACAGCGGCGGGGTGTCACCAGCTTTCAATTTAGCTGTCCAGACCCTTGACATCAATTAATAATTATCTAGTTGCGTTGTAGATCAAGTTTGTTTCTATATTAAATAAGTTAAAAAATGATCGTGTAGTGTAATTTTCTTCCTTTTGTAAGAAGAATTTCTACCCATTTACAAATGCTTTGGGCCAATCAATTTTCTGCAGGAATAGTGAAAGATTTGAGACAAATGGAGTAGTCCTTCCAGGACTCTTCATATCAAATCTAAAAATAATTGAAACAGGTCGTTGCGTCAGAAAGATCGACAAAGATGCTTTTTTTACCTTATCTCTTTAGTGCTATTTAATATAAGTACATGTTATGTGTCTAGCGAAATTGGAAGATCCTGTACAACATATCGTTAGGAAAAATTTTGTACCAATCCTGACCAGAATTTTAGAAGAATTTGGACTAATATTACTAGATTCCTATAAAATATGTAATAAGGATAGTGAATGTAAGAAGATATCTTTTTGTATTGCAAAATGCTCTTGAGATAAGGCATTTCATAAATCTAAGTGATCAGCAATTCACACTTTCATTTCAATCTCACCACATAAGTGATAGTTAAAGGATTATAACATAATATACGAAAATGGCTGTCGAACGAGCCTTCTTGATTTTTCTAGCAATATATTGTAGCTTTGGTCAATCAAATGGACAGGATTGCGGTAAGCAGATGTATATTTATATTAAGCAAAAAAAACAAGCAATAATTTGAGAAAAGCTTTTGTTTTTAACATTTTCATTTACTTTTAGAAAACAATAAGAGGAGCACCTTCTAATCTTGTCAATTACCATATATTTTCTTTTTCCGATTACCATTTTATGTCAGTCTGATTATGTGTTCATTAATTGCACTCATCAAGAAAAAATAAGCTTTATCTAATGGAAATTACAGTTTCGTTATTAATTAAAGTAAACCCTTACATTTAAAGCAAGAAACGGTTTATGTGAAATATTTTCATAGCACTAATTGTTTTGATATAATCTAGAGAGACCCTTGAAATACCTTCGTTTGAAATGACACAATGGAACTTTTATAGTAAGTTGTTCACTTGAACAAATTTTAATTTGGTATTAAATATAATTTACGTTTTTTAACTAGAGTATGAAATACGAAATGAAAGTACTAGATACTTCCCCAATCTGTTCCCAAATCCCTGTTATCCAAACAAGGCGCCATCTTTCAGATAGATGCCAAAGTTTACTGTTCGTTGATGGTAACAAACATCGCTAGAAATGGCAGACATGTTGATCGAATTGTCACAAAATAGTTTTGCGCATAGTGTTTAGACTTATGGTAAGATTTCAGTCAGCATCACTTTCAGAATTTGTTTATTTTCAAATAATTTTAACTGATTTTTCCTTTTTGCAGTGCCTAGCGTCACGAGTGTAACAATCGCGTCTAACTCGACCTTATTTTGGGAAGTAGACCCCGACAGACCATGCGATGTAACTAGTTTCACGGTGGACATCGTAGGCGACAAAGAAGACGAATACCACTTCAGCGTCCGTGAAGACTTCATAGACGTGTCTTTCTTGCCCATCTGCGAGAGATGGCAGTTTACAATCACTCCAATTTCATACGACGTCGTAGGGTTTCCACACAGAATGACTTCTTACATCCCCCTACCCCCAGGTAGTGTAATTTCTCGCAAACCGTTGCCTACCGTTGCTTACCTCAATTTTTACAGACACTGACCTGGCCTTAGGCTACTTCACCTTCAACGTCAGTGGCAGAAGCGTTTTCCTGGCGTGGGATTTGACGAACCAGACCCACGGAGATTGCTCTTTGGAATACCGTTTAACCGTCGAGGATCTAGACCAGGGCACAATGCATGACGTGTACATGGAAGGAAAATCCGCCTATATACCTAACGTCTCTCCTTGTATTTCCTATCAACTTAACCTACGAGCTATTAACCAAGCGCACCCGACTATAGAGGGGCCACTGAGGAGGCTGTATATACTCCTCAATCCCACACGTACTTATTTTTCATATATTCTTATCTTCGCTTTCGTGACATTTCAAGAGACATTTCCTTTTTTTCTTCAGCAGACGCTAAGAAATTAGTTGACTGGTATTTATTTCTGCTATGTGTACCGGTAGGTATGTACAGTCACCATGGAGTTAAAAAGTTACAAAAATTCAGAGTACTATAAGCCAGTACACAAAAAACAAGCTTCACTTTTGAGGATATGTCCTTGAAACGTCAAGAAATCTAAACCGACGATGCGAGTGTTAACTACGACTATTATTGCAGCTCAGTTTGCTCCAACGCTGAGGTCGATCGACGTCAAAGCTACATCTATCGACATGAGTTGGCATCTGGAGGGAGAATCCAATAGGTGTCCTTTAAGCAGTTTCCACATAGATGGCGGGGCGTATTTCAATTCAACGGTGTCCTTGCAAGGATCGACAGAGCCGACGGTGGCTTCCGTACATATCGATTCTCTCCTGCCCAACAGCATGTACTTCATGACGGCTTCAGTGGAAAATAGCGGGGGGAGGTCTCCAAGTGCCCCGATAGCTGTACAGACCATTGATCTGTCTCCCGATTAAATATTTTTGGAGCAGAACGATCGGTTTCGCTGGAAATTTTTATAATACTGGCATGTTGTTTCAAGGAAATAATTACAATTACAAAATGTTATAGTCGTGGTTATTATACCTGTTTTTAATCTTTATTAATACTAGAACTGGATTTAGTAGATGTTTATTATGTCCATTAAACGACACTTAAATAACAAAGTTCATAAGTAGCGAGCAAAAACAAAACAATCCAGCTCTACTCATAACTACTTATATGCCTATGATTGTGTTTATCTCAGTCTTACATCTATGTCTTCTTACAATTTATACCCAATCGTTAATATTGCTTTCCCAGCAATAAACCACGTCAAGTTTGAATTTTCACCAAATTGAATGTCGCGCCACGCTCGGCCAATTCAATTTACCGTCAATTTGACTGCTGCATTGCTCGAACACGTGACTTACATCGAATGATGTAATACCGATTGATGCGATAACTTTCATAATCTCTTATAGCTATCAAATTATAAGTTTGCTGACAGATATTTTAAAGGCAATAAGGTATTAAATTAAAAGTATATTCTGCACATATGTTTTATCAATATATTTATTTTTTTCTTTTTTGTTGATCTTAAATTATAATTTACTGTTAATCTGGGACCACCCGTAAATTCACCAAGGACACACCTGTATAAATCCAATTAACATCTATGCGGCGCCAACCTTTGATCTATGCCGACATAGGACATCGACAAAGGACCAAAGGACGCCGACAAAGGACCCCGACTTCCCCACGGTCCCCGAAATTTTCCCAGGCTGAACCGTCGCAGGTAAGGCGACAGTTGAGACAGACGGACGCCCGAGACGCCAGGCGTCGGGACGCCCGCTTGTGGCCTTCAGTAGTGTGCCATCGGGGGTCGCTCGGCCCCGATCGGCAGGTAGGTACAAGCGCGTTATGGAACCTGAGACTGGGGTAGGGTAAAATAAACATTAGACAATTAATTCATTTCGCTCGATCATAATTAACATATATCCGGCACATGATTATTTATAATTAAAGTAAAGATACAGGGGGTAGCAGAATAATATTTTAAGAATTGAAAATAGGTATTTATTCTTAATAATTGCATACCTACCTACGTTATGTCGAACTATATATACGTTAACAATTATTTTTAGATAATTGAGTGTCAAAGTATGGCCATAATCCTGTTTACCAAGATTTCAGGTAAGTATTGTAACTATCTAGCTCACCGTCATGAAAATGTAAAATTTCTTATAGAATCGATAATTGTTCGACTAAAAAAAGGTATAATATTGTAAGAGTCTAATATTGTTGAGAATTCTATCTTTACTCGGCGCAAGATGTACTTTGTATGACATTGCAAAAAGGTGCAGGTAATATACTAGTGTCAAGAGCGTCTCAATCGCATCAAATGCTACGTTGTTCTGGGAGGTGGACCCAGATAGACCATGTGACAGGGAGGACGAATATCACTTTACTGTCACCGAAAGCTTTGTAGATCTATCCTTTCTAGACATTTGAGAAATGGCAATTCACAGTCAGTTACCCCAATTTCCAACGAGGTCATTGGATTTGCACATACCATGACAAGTTACATCCCGCTTCCACCTGGTAGTTATCATTTTTATAACCATTATTAATCACAACCATTTTCAATAACAGATATAACGCAATTTGAAAATAATTTATGAATTTTTACTTTAATTTTATATTTAAATCGTAATTAAATAGCTAACAAAATATTGAAAAAACGAGTTTACTTTGCCTTAATATGCAAACAATGACTTCTTATAAATAAATAAATAAATAAATAACCTTTATTTTCCTTAGAGACTTTGTAATAAAGTATGGGAGGGAATAGTCAATAATACAAAAAAAGATGGGAGAGGAAAGCCATAAATTCTTATACTAAAAGAATTCAGTAATGTTATATATATACACTTCTTACCGAAACAAATATAATGTCCCCCATTAATTCATAAAATAAATAATGCAAATTACATTGTAATACTTCCGAATTCCATATTAATTACAGAAACATGTAATAATATTAAAAGTAATATAAATTTGAATTAAGGTAGCTATGTTGTAGAATTAGATGAAAATTGTCAAACAGAAATTGATACATTTTATTTAGAAACAAATAAATTAAACAAATTACATGCAAACGATTTGAATATGTATTCCTCATTTATCATTTAATGGTAACTCTATTTTAAATAAAACTATTAACTTTGCAGACCTAAACCTTAATCAAATAAATATTAACAAATTATTTGAAATACAGAAAAATTTAGAGATACAAAAATCAAACATAAATAGAATATCAGATATTCAATTAACTTCAAAACCTAATATTGGAATGATAATATTGTACATAATTTTATTCATTATAGCACTGTATTTTATAATAAGGAAAATTGTAAGCCTTATAACGACCAAGTCAAATAAAAATAAAAATAATGATAACGAAATTAAAATTTAAAATTATTAAAATTGTAAATTTTAATCTTGAAGAGGACGAGTGACTTCATATTGGTTGTTGTAAGACAGTCATCCGATGCAAACTCAGCATCGTTATAAATACGATAAAAACTCTAATTCATTGTTCATTGTTTGCTTGCTTTCTGTAACAATAATGTTCCGCTGGTGAATAAATTGTTTTCATTCCAAAAAAAGGGAAAAGGTCTTACTCAAGGGGAAATCTAACTTGCGTAAAATGCTTTTTACAACACTTATTAGTTATAATCCATTACATTAGATTCAATGCCAACAAACTTTCCACAATCCTCTCTATAACTCTGGTGCCAGGCATGTGGGACAATTACAGCTCTGTGCGAAAAATTAAATAATTTTTAACGTGGCATATAATACTACAGTACCTAATTTGAGTAATCTCGATATTACATAACACACCAGGAAAATTAGCGAAAATAAAAGAGAAACTCGAAAAAAGTTCTAAAAATATGCAACAATTTATTTTTTATTATTTTTGATAATTCTTCAAAATATGCCAATAATATTATTACTGGTATCCAGCCGTCTGCCAATATATTCATTATAATTATTGTTTGTATCACAAGAGGCACAACGTTAAATATATAAGTCAGGTTATCGAAAGAAAATAAATGTGGTCTCGTGGCTCAAGGCGTTACGCGTTGTCTTACTAATCTAAAGGTTCGGGGTTCGATCCCTGATGAGGTATGGTTTTTTTTCAATTAATATAATATTTAAATACAATTTTCTATCGTCCACATTTCAAGACAAATATTTCTGCACCAGTTGCTGGTCACGAAGTAAATAATTTCTCACAGTGTTGCCAAATATCTGCTGATTCGAGGCGCGCTAGATTGCTTGTTAAATTCTGCCAGAAAATCGTGAAATATAAAATACAGATAAGTAGGTATAGACCAGCAAATTAAATTTTTACTCGAAAAAAGTCCTATCCGCGAGATTATTGTAAAATTGTATAAAGGAACATAATACAAGACATCTCTTATCTGAGTCAAAAACTTTTATTAGCTAACTTTTCTATTTAAACAATAAGTGAGGAAAACAGTTTTTTCACTTTGCAGGGAAAACCATAAATTTTAGCGAAAAGTGACTCTCAGACAGCTTGTAGGGAGTAAAATTATCTACAAAATGAGACTTGTTAAATTAAAATCGGTTAATAAACAAAAAAGTTATTGCAAAAAAACAAGAAAAGTGCCCATTTTTTCATTTGTTTATAACTATCGCATTTATTGTTAAAATTTTATAAAACCTATGACAAGTTGAGGGTTTTGTCATACTTTAAAAGTGTGCCAAAAGTGGGCGCTGTAGGTGCAATAGTTTTCGCACAATTCTATTTGTTTATAGCGGAGGCTCCAAAAGTTATGAACTTTAAGCCTCTGTACAGGCGTTAATTTTCAACCAAACATGATTCTGAAAGCGTCATTGTAATCTTAAAGACATAATTAAGCGACTTAACTAAAAAATATCACCGTTTTTTTAAAAATTAACATTCTCAAATTGTGCACTAAAAAAACCGTGCGTTTTTCGCTTATAAACAATTTGAATAACATTGTTGCTATTTATGCTAACACCGAAAATAGATGCAATGGATAGCTGACAAAAAAATACGGTTTTAAAATAAAAAAGTACCCTCTACGACCAACAGAAGCCCAAGATAAGATTTTTTTTAAATCGTAGCGCAATTGTTTATATTATTGCAATATTTCGGCTTCTATTCATCGTAGAAACTTATTTTTAATTTAAACTGGGGTAGCTAGACGAAAAAATAACAATGGGCATATTTACGAATTCGTAGAATAGCCCTGAACCCCAGAAAAAATGCATCTTTTATACTTAATTTTTTTTTATTTACAAATATGTCACAAAAATTATTGTTAAACGAAATTATAATTAAAATTTAAATTTAGGAATTATTTTACTATTATTAAATAAATAAATAAAGCTATCGTTCATTTAAAATATCTCCATTTCTAAATGTAAGTGTGCTAAGTTTCTGGGTTTGCATTTGGACTGGACATTTCCCTAAATTGGAAGGAGCAATGTAATAATTTAACATCGAAATTACATTCACTGTGTTATCTAAATTTGAAGCGTGTACTACCGTGGAAAACAGTCATGGGCCTGTATCATGCACAAGTCAGTTCTGGGCTGAGATATGGTATAATATTTCGGGGAAATTTTGTAGCTGCGAAAAGTGTATTTGTGGCAAAAAGGGTATTCATAGATATATAGCAGGTGTAACAAGTAGACAATCTTGTAAAAATATTTTTAATATAAAATATTAACGCTTCTGTGAATTTACATATTTGAATTATGTGTATTCTTTTTCAATAACAAAAATAATTTTAACAAAGTATGTGCTTTGCATACATATAAAACTAGACAATGGAATACTTTTACTAAAGTCTCCTTTTGTGTTTGGACCCAGGGTGTTTAATAACTTGCCCTTGGAAATAAAAATGATTGATAATCTCGGTAGGTTTAAATCTAAGTTAAAATATTACTTAATTGACAAGTGTATATATATAACATTACTGAATTATTTTAGTGTAAGAATTTATGGCTTTTCTCTCCCATCTTTTTTGTATTATTGACTATTCCCTCCCATACTTTATTACAAAGTCTCGAAGGAAAATAAAGGTTATTTATTTACCTATTTATAAGAAGTTATTTTTTACATATTAAGGCAAAGTAAACTTGTTTTTTCAATATTTTGTTAGCTATTTAATTACGATTTAAATGTAAAATTAAAGTAAAAGTTCATAAATTATTTTCAAATTACATTGGCTAACACTCTTGAGATAAGATATTAAATTTGTACAGTTTGCAACTTATTTTAATCTCATCATACTTGAAAGTGATATTGGATATTTTATATACAGATAATATACAATGGTTTCTAAAAACGTTTTCTTGATTGTTGCCGCAACATACTGTACCATAATTGATAAATCACAAGGACAGGAAGACTGTGGTAAGCAAAAATAATAATAATAGATGCTGATTAGTTGAAAAGTAACTCGTGATTGTGATAATAAAACTATTAGTATTCGTTGATTTGAAATATAGGTAATAACAATACGATTTTCAATAAACGAATAACAAGTTTAATTTTTTAGTGCCTAGTGTCAAGAGCGTCTCAATCGCATCAAATGCTACGTTGTTCTGGGAGGTGGACCCCGATAGGCCATGTGAAATAACGAATTTTAAGATAGACATCGAAGGCGATAGAGAGGACGAATATCATTTTACCGTCACCGAAAGTTTTGTAGATTTATCCTTCCTGGAGATTTGTGAGAAATGGCAATTCACAGTTACACCAATTTCCAACGAGGTCATTGGATTTGCGCATACCATGACAAGTTACATCCCGCTTCCACCAGGTAGTTATAATTTTTATACCTAAATACCATAATATACAGGGTGGGTCATTTTAATCTATGCACCCAAATTTCTCCGTAACTAAGCGAGATACGGAAAAATGGTTCAGACAAATGTTATTCAGGACAATGGAGGTCACCTTCCTCTGCAAGTAGGTTTGACCTTGAGATTCATTTTCAAGGTCGTTTGAAGGTTAGAGTGTTTTTTAAAACATTAACCCCTATTTTTGATAACAGATACGAAATCTTTACGTCTGAAATGATACAGCAAGTTTATTTACGTGACCTCGAGAAGGTCAATTCAATGTCAAATGATCAAAAATTGCCTGATAGCTGTTTATTTGGGTTTTATGGCGGAATAAACGTTATGACGTCATAGGAAATATCGAAGTCAAATGTGACAACGACCTTAACAATGTTGAGGTCACTTTCAAGGTCATTTGAATTCCGGAGGGTTCTTTTATGGAAAATTTTGTTTTTGACACCGAATTAACAAAAAGTGAAAAATTTAACGTCAGAATTGACATTTTAATTGTTGTTGTTCTGACCTTGAGAAGGTCAAATGTTGGAAATTTGCTTGCTAGCTGTTTATTTGATTCTTTGGGCAGATTTAACGTTGTGAAGGTACCTTTAAAAGATTAAATTTGACAACGACATCGACCGTAAGGTCAATTTTCAAGGTCATTTTAAGGAAATATATATCTAATCACTTCTCTTGCTATTTTCAGACGCTGACCTCACTATAAACCGCTTCAGGTTCAGCTTATCCGGTAGAACCCTCATTCTGGAGTGGGATCTGCGCAACCAGACCCTTGGAGACTGCACCTTAGAGTACCTTTTGACCCTCCAAGACCTTGATCGCGGTACCATAGAAGACGCCTACGTAGAGGGTAGGACGGCACGCGTAGACACCGTCTCGCCTTGTATTACTTACGAGATGAACGTTCGAGCTATCAATCAAGCCCATCCTGCCAGAGAGGGACCTATAGCAAGATTGAATTTGGTAATGGGAAACAGAGGTAATACCTACATTTTTCGTCTCTCCGTTTTTTTCACCTATCTATCGCAACCTATTCAGAACTGTGTTAAAAATTCTCCATTGCAGCTCAGTCAGCCCCAACCCTGAAATCGGTAGAAGCTAAAGCTACATCTCTCACTTTGACGTGGACTTTGGAGGGAGACGCCAACAGGTGTCCTCTGCGAAGTTTCTACATCGACGGTGGCAACTACTTCAATGTGTCTGTTCCCCTGCAGGGTGTGGAAGACCCGTCAACGGTTTCAATGGAAATCACGGGTCTCAGGTCTAACAGCATGTACTTGATGAGGGCTTCTGTGGAGAACAGTGGGGGATGGTCTCAAACTACGCCTATAGCTGTACAGACACTTGATTGGTCTACCGATTAGTATATTCAGTGATATTTGATTATATTGTTATTGAATCATCATTTTATTAAATATATTCTATAAGTAGTATCGTACTTTTTTACACTTGCATCTTAAAGAACAGTCACAAAATATATGTCCTCGACTGATCAAGTAGAAAGTGGGAGTTCCACTTGATGTGATTTGGCCCATCTGTTCATAGACATTTTATTGCTAAATATCGAATTATCTCTAGATAAGAACTTATTTATACCAGAAGTAAGGCAGGTACATTTATATTTAAAAGAAACTGCATGGAGTGGTAAAAAATAATTGTAAAATTGAACAGAATGACATCCAAAGTGACACTTTTGATTTGGTTCATAGCGCTGTGCAGTTTTTTACAAGAAGCGTATGGAGACGACGATGACTATGGTAAGAATTGAATTGCTTATAAAAAAACATTTTTTTACACAATATGTTTTTGTTTGATAAATTTACAAATATTTTTGGCTATTTCATCAGCCGACACTAACCTTCCCCTGACGAACGTCAGCTTCACCTTCACAGACGAAGATATTGTCATTAAATGGGATCTTATGTCTGAAACTAACTGTTCCGTCGAATACCACTTTACCGTTCGTGACAGCGAACTTGGTGTAATTCTGGATGAGTATCTGGAGGATCAGTTTATGCGATTGGATGCTATTTCGCCTTGTATAACCTACAACGTAGGTATTCAAGTCGTTAGCAAAGCATCTCCTGCCACAAAGGGACCCTTGTTGACAATAACCATCCAGCTCTACCCGAGAGGTAAATATGTTTAAAGTCTTTTTCTAAGTTTACACACACACTTACTCAATCATTTATTTACATCTATGTTATTTCAGCACAAATTGCTCCTGCTTTAAAATCCCTGGATGTACAAAGCACATCAATCAACGTGTCGTGGTTATTAGAAGGAAATAAAAATAGATGTCCTTTAAAAAATTTCTACGTCAACGATACGATATATAGACCTAGGTAGTTATTCTCCTTATAAACAAGTCTTTGAATCAAAATATCATATTTTGTTATTCATGTTGTTTCAGCTCAAATTGCACCCATCCTGTACTACTTCCAAGTTTCTGTGGAAAATACAGGGGGATGGTCTCCACCTTACCAAATAGCTGTTCAGACACTTCCTAGTAATTAGAAATGCCTTGATTGTCGCCCATGAAAAGATCTTAGGAAGCGTTTACAGACCAGTGCTTATTACAACTTTTTTCTTATCTTTGAACGTGATGAAGCTCGAAAACCTAACTATTCCACGCCTGAACTGTGTTAAAAGTTCAGCAACTTTGCATTTCGCCAATATCAACATTTCTCTTTATATTTTAAGATATTACACACGTATATGAACTATAATATTATTATAGGTATTATAAACGCGTAGATATGTAAGTATAATTAGAAAAACAAATAAACTCTGTGATTATATTGTTTTAGTGCATTTTTATTTAATGTGAAGTTAAAAACAACACCAGTATTGGAATCTATGAGCATTATACCTACATAAAACTTATCTTTCAATGATCTCCACAACAGATAGTCAATCAGGATTAACTATGGGGATTATTTTTCTAAAAATGTACCTATTAACACTTCATTTTCCATATGAACAATTCTTATCAAAACGGAATCTATGAATCATAAATCTTACAGACTTATCCTATAGTTGTTATAATGTTTCATACGTTGATAATTTAAAGCTTGTATTGTATATAAATATCTTAGAATCCGTATAAAATCTTCTGTAAATGCAGAAAAGCCAAATGTAAGAACAAACCATCCTTCCAATGTTTTTTAAGCATTGAAGGTACTTCACATTATTCTAGATATTTGTGATGAGCAACTTGTTTGTAGAGTTTCTCGCTGAACTCTTAATGTAAAATATCGGATTATATCAAGATAAGACGTTATTTATACCAGAAACAACGCAAATAGATTTTTAATTCAAGCAAACTGCATGAAGTGGAAAAAATAGCTGCAAAATTGAACAGAATGATATCCAAAGTGGTAATTTTAGTCTGGTTCGTGGTGTTTTGCGGACTTGTAAGCCAAGTATATGGAGACGACGATGATTGTGGTAAGAATTCCAGTATTTCAGTTATTCACGTTATTTCTTGGTTATGGTTTCGAACTACCTGTAAATTACTGATTATTCGACAGGTGCCGACACTGACCTTAACGTATCAAACGTCAGATTCACATTCTTAGACCAAGGCGTTGTTGTCAGATGGAGCCTGAGGACTCCAACCAACTGTTCCATCGAATACCACTTGGTTGTTCAAGATAGTGACCTCGGCGTAATTCGAGATGAGTATTTGGAAGAAGAGTCCGTTCAGCTGGATGCCATGTCGGCTTGCACCGGGTACAACGTGACTCTTAGGGCCGTTAACAAAGCGATACCATCGCCAGAAGGCCCGTTCCTGACTACTTCCATCCAGTTCCATTCAAGAGGTAAGTTCCAACGTTCATTTTGGTCAGCTTTAATCGCCTTGTCGAAGATCCTTCTAATGAAGAGGTTGACAGTGATATAAAGACCTAGGTAGTTATTCTCCTTATAAACAAGTCTTTGAATCAAAATATCATATTTTGTTATTCATGTTGTTTCAGCTCAAATTGCACCCATCCTAAAATCGCTGGACGTAGAGACGACATCTATCAAAACAACGTGGTTGTTAGAAGGAGAGGGAAATAGATGCCCTTTAAGAAACTTTTACGTCAATGGTGGTAATTTCAATTTTTCGATACCTCTGGAAGATTTAGCTGACAGGAGTGTTGTTCCTGTAGAAATCAAGTCTCTCCAACCCAACACCATGTACTATTTCCAGGTTTCTGTAGAAAATTCAGCAGGATTGTCTCCACCTACTCCAGTAGCTGTGCAGACGCTTCATGAATAATTAGGAAATAAAAAGCTTTTCCTGGCCTTTCTATCTTTAGTAGGTAGTTTGAGGTTAAATCAACAATCTTACTCTTTTAATACAATACAGGTTGTACAAAAAAAAATAAATTTATATTTCCAAAGTTATCCTCCATATTTTTAAATTCTCTGACTTTTAATTTTAATAAATATCTTCATAATTTATTTTTTCGGGACCAAATCGAATGAGAGCTCTTTAAATAAGAAAAATTCAGTCTTAAAAACAATAAAATAATACACAAATATATGTTGGCATTCAAATTGATCTGATTCTGAACAAAAATCAATATACTATTAATAGCATTAAGCTATTGGGAGCAAAAAATTTGCAAAAGTCTATTCTCATTTATAGAGAAGTAATTATAGTTCAATGTTTTTGTATATTGTATAACACTCATGCTCACAGCTTAGTAGCTCTGCAGACTATTGATTTATCTGTCAATTCATTCAAAGTATATATTAATTTTCTTAAAACGACGTTTTTTCTAGAGCTATATTCACATTACACAAAATTTGAAAAACAAATATACAATGTGATAATATGTTTATGCCAGCAAAAAGCATCAGTATTGTAAAACGTCATCTATGAGTATTATATCCCCATAAACCTTATCTATCCAAGATGTTCATAACAAATAATCAACCAGGATTAACAATGGGGATTATTATTCTAAAAATATATCTACTAACACCTCTATCTCCATATGAATAATTTTTATCACAATATATCTATGAGTCATAAATCTTACCGACTTATCCCATGATTGTTAAAATCTTCCATACATTGCCATTATGGAAATTAAAATGCTTATAGGTACTTTACATTATTCTAGATATTTGTGATGAGCAAAAGCCTGGGTTTAGGAACTTGTTTCTCGCGGAACTCTTAATGCGGAATATCGGATTATATCAAGATAAGACGTTATTTATACCACAAGCAAGGCATATAAATTTTTATTTCAGGCAAACTGCATCAAGTGAAAGAAAATAGCTGCAAAATTGAACAGAATGATACCCAAAGTGGTAATTTTAATCTGGTTCGTGGTGTTTTGCGGACTAGTAAGCCAAGTATATGGAGACGAAGACGATTGTGGTAAGAATTCCAGTATTTAAATTATTCACATTATAAAGATAGATTATTGATTGGTTACTCGACAGGTGCTGACACTGACCTTAGCCTAACGAACGTCAGGTTCATATTCTCAGACGACGACGTCGCTGTCAGATGGAGCCTCAGGACTCCAACGAATTGTTCCATCGAATATCACGTGGTTGTTCGAGACAGCGAATTAGGCGTAATTCGAGATGAATATTTAGAAGAACAGTCCGTTCTGCTGGATGCCATGTCGCCTTGCATCGGGTACAATGTGAGTCTTAGGGCCGTTAACAAAGCGATTCCATCCGCAGAAGGACCACCCCTTACAACTTCCTCCCAATTTGACTCAAGAGGTGAGCTTCACTGTTCAGTTTGGTTTGTGTCAAATTTAACAGTTACATAAAAACCTAATATAATCTTATTTTTTATTATTTCTGTTGTTTCAGCTCAAATTGCGCCTCTTCTAAAATCGCTGCAGGTACAGTCGACGTCTATCAACACGACTTGGTTATTAGAAGGAGATAGAAATAGATGCCCCTTAAAAAACTTCTACGTCAATGGTGGGGACATTTTTAACTTTTTGATACCTCTGGAGGATTTGGTTAATCGGAGTGTTGTTCCTGCGGAAGTCAAGTCTCTCCAACCCAACACCATGTACCATTTCCAAGTTTCTGTGGAAAATTCAGGAGGATGGTCTCCTCCTTATCAGATAGCTGTGCAGACTCTTCCTGAATAATAATAAAAACAAAACTTTTTCCTGGCTATATTTTACAAACTTACAACTAATACAAATTGTGCAAAAGAAAAATAAATCCATATTTCCAAAGCCATCTTCGATTTTTTAACTTCCCTGGCTCTTAATTGTAATAACTACGTCATTTGTCCTAATTACAGTTGCTTTGTTTTTTACAGATAATAATTAAATATGTAGGTACTTTATTTTTTCGGAATCAAATCATATGAAAGCTCTTCAGATAAGAGAAATAAAATCTCGGAAACAATCAAATAATACAATTATAACTTTCCTTGTTATCTAAAAATAATAAATGCAAAAACCCCGCTTGATGACGATGTTTCCAAAGGGAATATTTTTAATTCTAGGAGTAGTATCCTATGGTTTATTTAACCAAGCATATGGATACGTTGAAGAATGTGGTAAGGAATCTGGTTCTAGACAAAAATCGATATATTTTCCATCTTTAACCAACCTAACCTACCATTCACGCTTACAGGCGAAAACCTCGATCTTTCTCTGAGCTACGAGTTCAACTTCACTGGGAGGGATATTTTCCTGCAGTGGGTACTGAAGAGTCAGATCACATGTCATGTGCTCTACCACTTGGTTATCAGGGACGATGACCTTGGTGTTATCCTGAACGAATACTTGAAAGGAACGTCCTCGCTTTTGGAAGTATCACCGTGTATCCTTTACTACATCGAACTAAACGCCATCAACGAAGAAATCCCTAACATGGAAGGTCCCGCGGTTACCATGGGCATCGTGTTCTCTAAAAGAGGTAAAATTACAATACTTAGACAACATGTTAAAATCTAAATCATGTTTCAGTTCAAATAGCTCCTTCGCTAGGATTGATCGATATTCGAGCTACATCTATCAACATGACGTGGACTCTTGAAGGAGGTGCCAACAGATGTCCTTTGATAAGGCTGTACGTAGATGGCGGCAGCTATTTCAATCAGACAGTGTCGTTGCAAGATTTGTCAGATAACAGCCAAGTATCTGTGGAAATCACACCCCTCAAACCCAACAGCATGTATTTCTTCCGAGTTTATGTGGAGAATAACGCAGGATTTTCTCCTGCTACGCAGTTAGCTGTGCAAACTCTTGAGGCAACCGATGAATTGGATTAATTGTATTGTCGAGAAAATAAAGTTGTAACCATTGTTGCTGTTTGATGTTTTAATGATGGATTCATGTTTAAAAAAATATGTCTAGCGTGTAATAAGGTTTTAATATATCTCCTTGCACTTCTAAAACGATTAGGGCTTTTGGGAAATTTGTATTTTATCAAACGATAAATAAATACAAATTCACCGCAGTTGTTTGTAAGCCTGTTGCAATCTGATTGAAAAAAATCTTAATTATAGATATTTAATAACAATACAATGCTATAATTATAAATTGGCGTTACGAAATCGCTTTGTATTGTTAAAATTTTCATCATTTATTGTCAACTCAAGCAGTGCTCTTATGATAACGACAAGAAGATAAAGAAAACATAAATTTTACCACTGAATTGTATTCAAATTTAAACATCATCGTACATTTTAGATATACGTATACAAGCTATTACAAATTCGCTTCTCACTACAGGGATCTCGCAAACGGTAAGGGGTACGAAGTTGCGTAATCAGGGGACCAACATTATGCCTCTAAAAAACAAGGCTAACATGATTAGTTTTCAAAATATTTGAAAAAAAAACGAAATTTTGGAAATCCGTATATGTTTCATTTCAGCCTTGTGTGAGGTGATATTGAAAAAAGAAAAACACTTTCTCATNTCATTTGGGGAGCGTTGAGGACCACAGTTTAAAATAACTTTTCAGTAAATACAGAAAACGAATATGGGAAAGAATACAACATGAAATTAATGTTATGAGAAGTAATGCACAATTATTGGATAAATTCTAATTTTCGAAGAACTAATGTTTGCGTTTAAAAACAAGAAAGTAACTTTGAGCACTTACTGTAATATTATTTTAATGTGATTACAAATATCAGTTTATTTAAAATGTTAATGTTGACTTTCTTACATTATTAGTTGATATTGTTTATTTAAAATATTAGTGTTGATTTTTATTTTATTGATTGATAATACTAATACCAAAAATGTGTAGTTATTTTTTTTAATGTGACGTTTTTTCATTATTATTCCCTGCTTTGAGGCTGCAGTTATAAATTATTTTTTATAAATTGGAATTTTTGCCTATATTTAATATAAAAAATACCAATTTTACTCGATAAACATAAACGATATCAAAATTTTGTAAGAGGCAAAAAATCTTCTAAAATATTGCTTATTTTTTAAAATATAAATTCTGTCATCATTGGCGTACATACAAAATGTTAGGGGATACCCAGTGGTTCGCAGGCACTAGAAATAGAACATCCTGTACATGTGTTCTCTCCAAATTCTATATTTACATCGCCCTTATATAAAAAAATATGTGTACCAAATTTGAAGTGTCTCAGAAAAACAGATTTCCAATTATCTGTTCTATATTTAGAAGGCTATATCTCAGTAGGCGTGCACTTTTGCATATAGGTAAGTTAGGCTAAATAGTCTTGTTTTCATCCAAGGAACCTGTGGTCAAGCGTTGTCCATCCTTTTCAGGGACACCCTGTATGTATGTACAAAAAAATAAATAATGTGCAATTAGTTTCAACTATCAAAAAACTATTACTTACGAAAAATCCCGAGACACGTCGATTTTGGAAATTTTTAAACGGACAGTAAGGGCTTGTGATCCCTCATTTCGAAGGTATTTTCATTCTCTATTCAAAAATGCTATGGTTTTCAGACTTGATGTGCGATAGAACAAAATGTTAATACGTCTTAGAAACATGATATTTTTTTACAAGCGTTCAGCAAGGTTCAGTACTAGGGCTTTCAAAACCTCAAGTGTTTCAAAAAATAATAATTGTTGCGCTCCAATCAAAGAAAAGATAATCGATTTGCAGAAGCACTCGAGGTATCTAAAGTGATTCTTATCCAAACATTCCAATCTTTTCGTAGTAGTATAAATAGCGGATATTTAGATTACTCGAAGGATTATGTCAGTGACAATGGATTTCAAATACGGTGTCATCGTGTTGCTTGCCCTCTGCGCTTTGGCCTCCAAGGGACAGGCACAGGAATGTGGTGAGTATCTCGTTGTCAATTAATACCCAAACCTTTTATTGGTGCCACATATAACACTAACAACTTCGTCAAACTCATCTATAATATTTTTTTGCGAATATATGGCAAGCTTTTTACTTTAAAGGTTATTATTTCTAAACTTTTCCTAAATTATTATTGTTATACAGAGTGTTTCANATAAATACAAATTCACCGGAGTTGTTTGTAAGCCTGTTGCAATCTGATTGAAAAAAATCTTAATTATAGATATTTAATAACAATACAATGCTATAATTATAAATTGGCGTTACGAAATCGCTTTGTATTGTTAAACTTTACATCATTTATTGTCGACTCAAGCAGTGCTCTTATGATAACGACAAGAAGATAAAGAAAACATAAATTTTACCACTGAATTGTATTCAAATTTAAACATCACCGTACATTTTAGATATACGTATATGCTTATCTAATAAACAGAACGTTTTCCAAAGAAATTTATAGAGCTCGTGTCGTTTCTAAGAACTTACATTACATAAAAAGGAGTAAGCAATATCAAATAATATCAAAGATCGATATCGTTGATGCTATCAACAATAATTATTCTTGGATATCAGATCAGTGACGTCCGTTTGCGTTAATATCTATATGATGTTTCTTCATTACGACGTACAAAATGTTTTTTCACCAGTTTTTCAAACTAATCTAAGATCTTCAGCTCACAGTTTGTATCCATTTCGAGATAAATACATATGTTGAACATAAACATGTTCATTCTTAAATATATCTTAAGGTATAAATTACAGGTGATATTATTCGTCGAAAATTGAGATTGTCATCTACACACAATTCTACAAGGATTTACGTCCCTGTTTATAATTTTTGTGTCGGTTTATCGTCAAGGATATCTGACCTTCTCCAACAAATAAGATAGCTAATACGTTGATAATTACGAATTAACTACTTCACAGATAAGTGACAGACATATCAACTATCCAAACAACAGATGACTCAGGATAGTTAATATGCTGTTTACTAAAAGAGAGACAGAAACATTCTGAATACGTGACAAAAAATAAATGTTAGGGCAGATGCAATGTGGTACAGAGTTGGTTGTAGGTCTGGTTCTCTTTTATGTAATTTTATTCACACAAAAAGTGCACAACTGCACTTTTTTCGTCTTTGTACAATAACATGTACATGTCTGCCTCTGATCTGAAACTGCGCATCGATCAATTTATTCAATACGTATTTAGCGGCACCCTAACGCCTGCCCTGACGGCTTGGCGTGCCGGTGAACAATCCAGGTTTTTTTGCTGAAGGACGTTGTCGTTTGTGCTTGTGTAAGTTTGACGCTTTGCTTAGTCGAGTGTATGGCACGTATTTTCATGGCAGTCAGTAGCATGGTGTATCGTGAGCATAGAGCGGTACACGGCCTAACCACAGATTTAGCCTACTTCTGCTACTACAACGCGTATTGTTGATGCTTACTAGCATAATATGTATATAGATTACTACTCTTTATTTATTTGATTGCGGACACAATTTCCGATATCTAGGAATAATTGTCGGAATAGGAAAATACAATATCAATTTTAAAATGAATTAATTTAAAAATCTATGTCCTCCCTTTTTTCTGTTATTTCTTATTCTGTAAGCTTCTATTTCTACTGTTATTTTGATTGTGTGATGAAATAACGATTAAATTGATCCATATATTTATTATAGTCATTTTTTTTTCACTTTTCGACAGGATTCCTTCGGTCTACTACATTTTAGCCTTGAATAAATAGACGATGGAAAATGCAATAATAAAACAGAATAGTAAAATAAAATAACGAATATGTATTTTTAGTCCAGCCCAACTACAACCACTTATGTTAATTGAGAATTATTTCAAATCATGCTCTTGAATTACTAAATCGAAAGCACCTTAAAAAAATGATAAAAAATACATTTTAATTAATTATTAATTTCTCTAATAGAGATATGTTTGTGTTATATATTTTTTAAATCATCAATTAACTTGATGTGAGCCATAATGTGGAACAAATTTAATAATACGTCTTAGAAAGATGAGATTGTTTTGCAAGCGCCCACTAAGGTTCACTACTAGGACTCAGTATAATACGATTTAGATAAAATCATAGCACCTTGGAAGCAAAGCAAAGCTACGTCTCTAGTTCAATAAAAATAAGGCTACATGCAGTGTAGGCTCTTGACCTACATACCAGGGAAAGCGGAAATATTTAGGTACAAAGTATTGAAAAGAAACTCAAATATAATTGGGTAGTTTTATTTTAAGTACTATTGAAATATAAGGAAAATGTGCGCAACATTATTGTTAGTGCAAGTCCATTCTTCTGCTTTTGTCCGAAATAAACTTTTCAATTACTTTTTCATTAAAGTTTTGTATTTCTTGTACCACTGATTTTTCAAAAGATGGCATTGCAGGTGCTGTTAGTCTGTCAATACAATCTACAATATTTTAAAAAACAGAAAAAGCAGAGCCCAGCCTGCATAGTAAATATGTCGCTACTCCCACTCCCTCTTACACTGCTGCGCGACGGTAACCATGACCACCGCTGTAAACACTTATAGATTTAGTGGTGAGCGACGAGAGCCCACGTACTCAGTGTTTTTCAAATGAATTTAGCAAGTCGAGTTAAATTGACTGCACATTACAAATTTAAGATATGGACAGGGCTGATTTATAAAGAACCCCTCAAGTGTTTAAAACAAAAATAATGGTTGCGCTTCAATCAAAGAAAAGATAAATCGATTTGCAGCGGCACTCGAGGTATCTAAAGTGATCCTTATCCAAAATTTCAATATTTCTGTAGGCGTATAAATAGCGGATGTACTTGAAGGACTCAGTGACAATGGATTTCAAGTACGGTGTCTTCGTGTTGCTTGCCCTCTGCGCTTTGGCCTTCGAGGCACAGGCAGAGGAATGTGGTAAGTACCTCGTCAATTAATACTAAAAGCATTTATTGGTGCAGCATATAAATAGATACATGTCAATAATATTTTTTGGAAATGTTTGTCAAGATTTATTTTACTTTAAAGATATTAAGCCGATCCAAATTATTTACAAACTTTTCCTAAATCAAATGGAGTCAAATCGGTTGCACAACATGGCGAAACAATAGCCATATTTGTCTGCTAACAGTATAAACATTCAATAAAGACTTTATTGTTTAATAGTCTTATAAATAATCATTGATATTGCCTCAGATATTACTAGAATACAACATAATTCGTTAAATCGAGAGAGCTTCGTTAATATTTAATTCAAATAAAAGATAATTCTACCCAAATAACACCGAGGAAGAATTTCCATCACCAAAGACAAAGACCACACGAAATCCAACCTTGATAAATTATACAGAACTTATTTCTGCCAATTTTTGAAGAACACTGAAGATGAATAAATATTATTGATGCATGTAAAACCTCGTTTCTGGTTGTGAAGTTACCTCCTTCTTTAATTAACTCAATTTTTTTTCAGTGGCTCATAGCGTGGTAAATATGACCTTGACTGCCCACCACCTTCTTACCTGGGCCGTCAGGGAAGATGAAATATGCGATGTCAACCAGTTCTTGGTGTACATCTACGAGTGGAACCGTCCCATCGAGTACAGCTTCGAAGTGGATGAACCCTGGGTGGATGTCTCCTTCTTGGAAGTATGCCGAGAGTGGACTTTTGTAGTGGTACCCGTATCAGATCATACCAAAGGACACGAGCATCGCCTGTTTGGTAGCATGCCTCTCCCTATAGGTAAGGTTATGATGTGTCGCCCTTAGTCTATTATTCACCAATATTAACAATTGTTCTAGTTCCCCTTGAAGTGGAAAAGTAATTGATACCAATCTAGTGGTTTCAAGCAACGTTATTTGCGGTAAATTTATGTTCACAGTACCAAAAAAATTCGGACAATTCTATTTCCTGAATCTAGAATGTCCATTTAAACGATATGGCTAAACTTAGCTTATTTCTGTCGGTTTTGAACGTTCTTTTACTTTATTTCTCCTTCCAGGTGCGGATCTTACCATCGACTACATCAACGTCACACGCAACGGAGTGACTGGTGACCTTCATCTCAGCTGGGACCTAGCTGATCGTCGCTACGGAAGCTGTTCCCTTAGGTACAGACTGACCATAGAAGAAGACGGGGATGAAGTAATCCACGACCTCTACTTGAGCGAGAGGTCCGTCAATCTGCATTTCTTGTCACCTTGCACCTCTTACCAGTTCGGTGTCAGGGCCATCAACATAGCCCATCCCACCATAGAAGGACCTTTAAAGATGCAATTCAGTAGTATTCCTCCAGTTGGTAAGTTGGTAACAGTCACAAATGAATTTACGTATCTGGTTAATGAATCATTCCAGAGCAAACTTCTCCTCGTTTGGACAGTCTCAACTTAGGCGTCTTTTCATTTAATATGACTTGGGAATTACAAAGCATGGTGAGGAATAGATGTAAGGTCACCGAGCTCCTCATTGATGGTGGAAACTTCTTCAGCAAGACCGTATACATAGAGGACACTGATGAAAGACTACCTATTGAAGTTGAAATCGATCATTTGAGACAAAATAGTATGTACTATCTGCGCGCCTATGTCCTAAACAGCGGAGGATGGTCTGTGCCAACAGTGGTTGCCGTCCATACCTTGGACTATGGACCGGATAACAAGGTGTGATGCGTAGATGTGTTTTGAAGGCATTCCTTATACCTGTATTGTTAAACACGACTTTACTGTATTGTATAAAAATATTACTTGTTTTCAAACTGAATAATTAAATTATTCAACCTACTTTTGTCAATGTATACACAATGTGTTAATAAAAGGTAAGTGGGTGAGTTATCCATAACAAAATAATTTCTTATAAACTTGATTCTAGATATAAGATGTTTAATTAGAAACAAAACACAGACAAAGACTTGTTTTATTTAAAAATACCTCGTAACGTCGTTCAAACAGTTTTATTTTCAGACTACCATTAATCTAATTTTCAAATTTTTGTTTTGGCAACTGGAACTTTACTGACTTTGAACTGGGCATTCAACTTTCTTTTAATTAGCCTTTGACTACCTTCGACGTTCTGTGGCTTTGTTTATATAAGTTTTGTAAAACAGTCGACTATCATGGAATATTCCAAAATGTTTTTGACAATTCCAATCCATGTGAAAATTTCTTTTACAAATTGTACGTTTATATAAACACTATTCTTAAAACTAGTTACATTTTAACAGCTTTCTTTCTACATGCATCAGTCTCTGTCCAATGCAGTGTCTGCAATTTAATTTTCACGCCATCTCTCTTTCAATTTTTACTAACTAAGCAATTTACAACATAAATATAACCCATGTAGTTTGAATGAATGAATGAATTTTTATTTTTTAGATTTACTACCAAGAACTATTATTATTAGTATTATTATTGCGTATTGGAAAAATTTTGGAATGTGTTCTACTTCTTTTGAAAACACCCTTTATATAAGAGTATACTTAAAAGTGATTAACTTCAATCTTTCATACAAACATATATAATCATTTATAAAACGTTTAGAAATAGTTTGGATCAGCTTAGTACCGTTTAAGTAAAATAAAGCTTGCCAAACGTTCCCAAAAAATATTGTTGAAGAGTTTGATAAAAATAAAGTTACATATAATTTATATGCGGCACCAATAAAAGCTTTGAGTATTAATTGATGAGTCACTTACCCCATTCCTGTGCCTGTTCCTTGAAGACCAAAGCGCATAAGGCGAGCAACACGAAGACATAGCATTTAAAATCCATTGTCACTGACATAGTCCTTCGAGTAATCTAAATATCCGCTATTTATACTACTACGAAAGCATTGGAATTTTTGGATAAGGATCACTTTAGATACTCTCGATTGCAGCTGCAAATCGATTTATCTTTTCTTTGATTGAAACGTTACGACTGTTTTTGTTTTAAACACTTGAGGGTTTGAAAGTCTTAGTATTGAACATTGGTGAATAATTTCATCTTTCTAGACGTATTATTAATATTTGATTCCACATGTAACTCGATTAGATAAGGTCTAGTTATAGTTTTTCATGGTTTTGAAATTATTAAGGGTTTTTTCACCAATTTTTAGTATCCAAAAGCTATTTTTAAAATGATGAATCATATAAATAAGGTGTTTTCGATGTAGTATGGCTATGTTGCTATGATGTAGGAAATAAATCAAGGCCACGAGTGGCTTTTAATGGGGTTGGGTTAAAAATGTGGTTTCCTTATTTCGTTTTTTTAATGTTTTATTGATTTTTTCCATATCAGCAACTAATTATATAGAAGAAATAACAAAAACCCAAACCATCCGTTTATTCAAAGGTAAAATGTAGTGGACTGAAGAAGATTTATGTTGAAACGTTGGCACAGTGAATGAAATTGATAAAAATAAATAGTGTGGAAATCTCAATTATTGTGCTTACAATGCAAGAGCCAGAGGCAAAATAAATGTTGCAACCTCTAAATTTTTAAACGGGCAGTAAGGGCTTCTGATACCTCATTTCGAAGGTATTTTCATTCTCTATTCAAAAATGCTATGGTTTTCATACTGGATGTGCGATAGAACAAAATGTTAATAATACGTCTTAGAAACATATTTTTTTTTACAAGCGTTCAGCAAGGTTCAGTACTAGGGCTTTCAAAACCTCAAGTGTCTAAAAAAATAATAATTGTTGCGCTTCAATCAAAGAAAAGATAATCGATTTGCAGAGGCACTCGAGGTATCTAAAGTGATCCTTATCCAAACATTCCAATCTTTTCGTAGTAGTATAAATAGCAGATATTTAGATTACTCGAAGGACTATGTCAGTGACAATGGATTTCAAATACGGTGTCATCGTGTTGCTTGCCCTCTGCGCTTTGGCCTCCAAGGCACAGGCACAGGAATGTGGTGAGTACCTCGCTGTCAATTAATACCCAAACCTTTTATTGGTGCCACATGTAACACTAACAACTTTGTCAAACTCATCTACAATATTTTATACGAATATATGGCAAGCTTTTTACTTTAAAGGTACTAAGTTGATCAACATTATTTCTAAACTTTTCCTAAATTATTATTGTTATACAGAGTGTTTCATTTCAAATGAATACAGTGCCATAACTTCCTTTTGTAACAAGGGAGATAGATAAAAAATGTTTCGACTGTTGTTTAAAGGCAAGGTATGTACACTCGATCAAGCTATGACGTCAGCAGAGCGAAAAACAAACTGGCTGATAAGAATAAAGTAAGTCGGCGATGGCCGTGGAGTTATATTTTCTTAAGAAAATTGTGAATATTGATACGTTTTTTATAATATATGCAGTATCAGTAACTTTGTCGATTTATTTTTAAAGTGGCGGACAATTTTCTGATTTCTGTATTCATTTGAAATGAAACACACTGTATATTTATATTTTAGGTGGACGTTAATTATACTCGTATGTACACACAGTTTTGGTTAAGTGAACATTGTTTTTTTACCTAGTTTTTAGTAATAAAAATTCTTTTTATAAAGATAATAACCTTATCGATCGAAATGTATGTATTTTTACAATAAATATATTTAATTACCAAAAATTGCGCTCGAAACTCGAAAACCTTACAATTATTATCAAATGAAATTAGATAAGCGACAACATGGCTAATCAGTAGTCACATTTGTTTGTTAATAGTAGTAATATACATAGATTATTATTTTGTCTAGTAGCATTATAAACAATAATAATTATTTCAGATACAATATAAGTTCGTTAAATGTAGAGAGAACTTCGTAAAAGTGTGTCAAAAAATGGCCGTTGCAAACTATTCAGTGCTATCAAATAGAAAATCATCTAAGAGGGTCTTTTAACAAGTCTGTTTTAAGGATACCGACATTAGTGATTACTTTATCGGGCTTTTATAACAGTTCAATCGTTAACCTGGTTAAATAATCTATCCAAGTAATACCAAGGAAGAAAATACGTAATTTGACACGGAAATGTTCCAAACGTTGAAACCAATAATTTTTGTTTCAACGTGTTCAACACCACAGACAAAGACCACAGAAAATCCAACCATGATAAATTATATAGAACTTATTTCTGAAAATATTTGAAGAACACTGAAATATTATTGAACTTCATTTATGGTTGCGAAATTCTTTAAGTAACTCAATTATTTTTCAGTGGCCCAAAGCGTGGTAAATATGACCTTGACTGCCCACCACCTTCTTACCTGGGCCGTTAGCGAAGATGAAGTATGCGATGTCCACCAGTTCTTGGTGTACATCTACGAGCAAGACCGTCCCATCGAGTACAGCTTCGAAGTAGCTGAACCCTGGGTAGATGTCTCCTTCTTGGAAGTATGCCACGAGTGGATTTTCGTGGTGGTACCCATATCAGAACATACCAGAGGACGCGAACATCGTCTGTTTGGCAGCATACCGCTTCCTGCAGGTAAGGTGATGATGTGTCACCCTTAGTCTATTATTCACCGATATTAACAGTTGCTCTAGTTCCCCTTTAAGTGGAAGAGTAATTGATACCAATCTGGTGGCTTCAAGCAACATTATTACGTTTCATAAGTCCAGAATGCTCGATATGGCTAAACTCAACTTATTTCTGTCTGTTGTGAACATTCTTCTACATTATTTGTTCTTCCAGATGCGGATCTTGACATCGAGTACATCAACATCACTCGCAACGGAGTGACTGGAGATCTTCACCTCAGTTGGGACCTAGCCGACCGTCGCTACGGAAGCTGTTCCCTCAGGTACAGACTGACCATAGAAGAAGACGGGGATGAAGAAATCCACGACCTTTACTTGAGCGAGAGGTCCGTCAATTTGCATTTCTTGTCGCCTTGCACCTCTTACCAGTTCGGTGTCAGGGCCATCAACATAGCCCATCCCACCATAGAAGGACCTATAAGGACGGAATTCGGTACTATTCCTGGTGCTGGTAAGTTGGTAACTGTCAAAATTTACGTTTCTGATTAATGAATCATTCCAGTGCAAATCTCTCCTCACTTGGACAATCTTGACTTGGGCGTTTTTGGATTTAAGATGACGTGGGAACTAGAAAGCGTCGTGAGGAATAAATGCGCGGTCAAAGAGCTCTTGATCAATGGAGGAGACTTCTTCCAAAAGATCGTACACCTAGAGGACGACGGCATAAGAGGACCTATAGAAGTTGAAATCGATAATTTGAAAGAAAACAGCTTGTATTACTTTCGCGCTTATGTCCTGAACAGCGCAGGATGGTCTGCACCAACAGTGGTTGCTGTTCACACCTTGAATGTAGAACCGGATAACAAGGTGTGATGCGGAGATGTGTTTTGAAGACATTTCTTATACCAGAATTTACTGTATTGTTTAAATATATTATTTGTTCTCAAACTAAATAGTTAAAATTATGCAACCTACATTTCTCTATGTATGTACAATGTGTCAACAAAAGGCAAGTGGGTGAATTATCCAAACAAAATAATATCTCATGAACATGGTTCTAGGTATAAGGTGTTTGAGCAGAAACAAAATGAAGACAAGGCTTGTTTTATTAAAAAAAAATACCTCTACACCTTATTTTCAAACTACCATGTATTAGATTATGAATTTTTAAAACAGTATCTCACAAACAAAGCCATCGGATGCACATATCTGCTCTACGAGTATTATAGTTTTCGCCGAGGCATTTTTTTTGCAAAAATTTAGTTATATGTTTTGTTTTTGGGATATCAGATTTAGCTGTTATAAAAGAAATAAATACACGTTTCGCTTTAATTATAAATTACGGTTTATCGAAATGACGATAAAAAAACCAACAGTGGAATTAATGCCTATAATTTGTATTTTATATACTTAAAACCATAACTTCTATCATCCTATAATATCTCTCACAACACGTAATATAACAATAAAATTAAATTGCACCTATATTCGTATGATTTATGAATTTGCTGAAATATTTATTAGCGCATATATCAGTAATAGTAAATCATAGAATAAAAACTTCACATTTATTTATTTAAAAAAAAAGCTCAGTTGATTGTGCCAAACGATGAAATGTATTTCTCAATCCGTCTGACTTTGTTAATAGAATAGTCAACGGAAGTGCAGGCAGTCATAACATATTTTTTTTTAAATTTAATATAAACATTGATAACTGATAATGGAAACATGGTTAAAATTCTAGACTTTCAACACGTACAAGATAAAAGTTCTTGAAAGATTGCGTTTTTTGCTTTTTGCGCAGTTTGTCTGTGAGGTTGTTTATAAAATGATTCACTTATTCTCATTACATCACATTTTATACAAAAAAAATATGTTTCATCTGTTTAATTTTTGTTCCCTAATACACTACTACAACAAACTACATATGACATTTTTTTTCTTCAGTTTCTTGTTTCTCAATATTAGTGACTGACTAAAATACAATGTAAACGAAAAACAATTATTATTTAAGATCAAACTTTGATTCAAACCACAAGAAATACTTTGTAGAATGAAAATTCTTGGGGCATCCTCTAATCGATATCAAGTATCGATAAAAATTAAGTAGTTTATCCCAGACTTACAGGCTATTTTTTCATTATAACCGGTCATTAATAAATCAACAATAACACAATAATTATCTGATACGGAATCGGCATTATTTATATAAATATGTCTCGCGTATACTTATCTTAGTAGTTTCTATGTTTCTGCAATTTGGGCCGCAATGTTAAGGATCGGTTTCTGTATTTTTGCGGTTATCAGTGCCCTTGCTGGTGCAAATGCCCAGGACTGCAGTGAGTATTTTGCAGAATTTCGTTGGCGAAAAAACATAAATTATATTATGGCTTTTGATATACTTAATTTAAATAATTTAATTGATTATCGACTTTAATATATATAAGTCGTATGCAAAAAATAACTACTGCGATAGTAGTAATTTCAGTTAATGTAAGGTACAAATAACAGCGGCCCAGGACTAGAACCCTGGGGGACGCCAGACAAAGAGATTAAGTAATTAGGTGTATACCCCCACCACAGGTTAAAACACATTATTTTCTGTTTTGCAAATAAGTTGTAAATTTAAGAAAATTGTCTATAAAATTTTAGTTCCCATGAGTGTTACGAACATAACCCTCAGCTTCCTCGGGAGGCTCTCCTGGGCCGTTAGAGCGGACGAAACCTGCGAAATCACCCACTTCATGGTTCACATGTCTGAGCCAGACCAGGACGCTAGATTCAGGTTTAAATCTTTTACCACGACCTTGAACGTTGACTTCCTCATGGCTTGCGATCTGTGGCATTTCAACATTGTACCCCACGTCAATGACGTGGAAGGGGACGGACATGTTTTTGTCAGCAAGATGCCAGTACCTATGGGTAAGTTTTACACCATAAAATAAGCTTCGGTAAAAGAGACATCTCACTTCAAATGCACTATTAATCTCTTTAGATATTCTCTATTAAAGTGGGTATAGCTCTGATGCAAAATTCAGAATATCCATTTAATTTCAATACAAAATTTATCAAAACCGATAAAGTGAGATTTAGAACATGACACAGCTAAAGTGTAAATGGATAATGCCTGTTTCGTCAGAGATTGCAATCGAAGGTCATTAATATTCATTGTAATATGAGCAAATCGTTACTACGTTCCCTAATTTGAAGAAAAATCGGTCAGTTTGTACGTCATTCACCAACAATTGTAGCCAAAATGGACAACATACTGAAAAAGTAAACAGATACTCCAATTAAATCAACTCATATTTTTCCCTCAGATGCGGATCTCACCATTGGATTAATCAACGTCACCCGCCCAGAAGAAGAGGATTACCTCCGCCTTCAGTGGGACCTCAACAATCCTTTCTTCGGGGACTGCTCCCTCAGATACCGAGTCACGGTGTCGGGAGACGACGACGACGTCATCACTGACATATACAAGGACGACAAGTACGTCAACCTCGATTTTCTTTCCCCGTGCGTGAACTACGAGTTCGGTGTCAGGGTGATCAACGCAGCGCCTCCCGTCATGGAAGGTCCTCTGAGATCGATAGAGTACGATTACCCACCAGCTGGTAAGCTTAAGAATTAATATGGTTGGAAGTGTTTAATTCGTTTTTCGGTTCTTCCTTTTTAGTTCAAACTCCCCCCACGCTGCAGTCCGTAACCCAAGGTGCCACCTTCATCAACGTCACCTTCGCCTTGGAGCCGGCAGCGAGCAACAGGTGCCCCATCAGGGAACTGTTGATAGATGGTGGCGATTACTTCAACGTGACTGTCCCCCTGCACGATGCCGATGAAAGGGAGCCGGTCGAGGTGCAAATAAGGTACCTGCGCCCCAACAGCATGTACTTGCTGAGAACTTCGGTGCAGAACAGCGCCGGTTGGTCGCAATCGAGCATCGTCGCGGTTCAGACATTGGAATTGACAGCGAACTGAGGATTAGTTAGTTGTGAAGCGGAAATATGTATTAATTTTGCCTGTAATCTGTCGCTAGTGTTAGAAATTGTCTTCTTCGTCTTCCTTAAGTGTCCCTATTATAGTCTAAGAGCTGTATCAAAGTCGATTTTTTAAGTTTTGGTACAAAGAATAAGTGTACAGGGTGAAAAGGTAAATAAAATGCTTTTTTACAACAGTTTTAAATTATCACAACAATAGCAACCTAATAAGAAATAAAAATTAGTTATTTGAAAAGGTAGTGTCAGAATTATATATTGTAATTCAAATTCTAAGAGTGTTTAATTCAAAACGAGCTCGGAAAGTGAAGACGAGAGTTTACCAGGGGAAGTACTGGAAGCGGCACAAAGTGGAGTTTCACGATTAAATCCCAAAATATGGTCTAGAAGTACGAGATTGCTTACAACGAATTCAAACGGTTGTGAAGAAAATTCAAAAAGTGTCCGAAGCGGTTTACTGGCATATTTCGAAAATAAAATTACTAAAATTAAACCTTCTACATTATGGTCAGTATATTTCATGTTAAAAAGTACACTGTATGCCAACAAAAAATGTAAATATTATACAGGGTGTCTCATAATTAGCTGCCAACCCAGAACAGGCCGATTCTATGATCAAAACTAAGTAAAAAAGTTCATATGAACATGGGTCCGGAAATGCTTCCTAACGGCACAGGGACCCATTGAAGAGGGAGGAATGGAAATAATTTTTTTTGCAATATCTCTCAATCGCGTTGTGATAAATGAATGAAATTTGGTATACACAGCTAAATTTTGATGAGCAATTTGATGGACTAATCCATTTATTTCCACAAGGTCCATTGGGGTGGGTACGGGGG